ATTGAGTTTGGAAAGTTATAAACAGGCTAAGGGTCCAGCTCAATTTAAATTAAGATTTTGAAATTATAAGAATCCTTCCCATGGGAAAATGTTGTTTTGAGTTCATAAAAAAAAATAGGATGAAACTTCAAAGTTGGCCACTAGAAGGAACTAGAAAGAACTAAATATTACAATGAAGGAAAAGAACATTTAAATTAAGGTTACTAATATACAGTAGAATGGAGCAAAATACTTTAACATTGGATTTTATATGTGAACAATGGATCCAAAAGTTAATTTTAAGAGTATCTACTGTTATAGGATAGACTGTGTTTAAAAGATGTTATGTCAAAAAACAAGTTTTACTGGGCAAGATTGAAAGTACCTGAAAGTAGATTTAAAAATGACCAAGATTGATTTGAAAGTAGATTTTAAAATGACAAGTTAAAGAATGATGTAGAAATTGGATATACAAATGAGTTTGAAGCTGATGTCTTAATAATTAAAAGGGGTATACAAATAACAAACCAAAAAATAATCTGAATAGCTTTCCTATACTGAATTTACAAAAAAAGTTGTTAAAGAAGTTTGTGAGAAGGGACAAAGAAAAATAAAAAGAAACCAAGTTCTAAAATAGTGTTTGAAAGGACTAAAGATTTAAGATTGTTAAAAGTAAAAGGAAGGAATATATAAACTTGGTTTATGTTATGTTATCTCTGATAATCCTTAATGGAATTTTGCTGATCAAGACTGAACAATGAGATTTTTAGATTTTGTTTATGATAAGATATGAGATGGGGGGGGGGAGAGGAGATCATTTCACACTGATGCTCCGTTTCTTGGAGTTCAACAAAACTGATTCTAGACCAGTGGTTCTCAACCTGTGGGTCAGGACCCCATTTGGGGTCGAACGACCATTTCACGGGGGTCACCAAACAATGCAGTCCGCCATTTTTTTCCCCTTTTCCTTAGCTGTGCTACTCCCTTTTATTTATTCTATTGGCTTTCGAAAGCCAATAGAATAGACTCTCTTGAATAGAGTCTAATTTTATTGGCTTTCAAAAGCCAATAGGAATTGTCCAGGCTGTCTCTGCCCTGCTGAGCCTGCCAAAAGTCCCTTTCTGCAAACGGTGCTGCACCAGTTGAGTAGTCCTCGACTTACGACCAGTTGAGTAGTCCTCGACTTACGACCAGTTGGGGGGTCGCGACATTAAAAAGGTTGAGAACCGCTGTTCTAGACCCTTCTCCTCTCTCAGACCTTGTTCATTTCTTATTCAGCATGAAGTGTGTGTGTATGTGTGTGTGTGTATGTGTGTGTGTGTGTGTGTGTTTGTAGCTTTTCTAGAAATAGATTTCATGGGTTTTGTCGGAGAGATGTATGAAATGACTTGTAGCATGGATTTATTTCCTGCTTTACCCTTGGTGTGCATGCTTATGCCTCTGAAGTATTGTTTGATGTGAAGTTCCTTGAGCTGGATGTAGATGTTCTACTAAAAAAGCCATCCAGGTTGTACAACACTTGAGGCCTAACCTATCTGGCGCATAAGAGAAATATTTGAGGATGTAACACTGCCATAGTTAAAGTGGTGCTCTGAAACACGAGAACATGACAACATTGGTGGCTTGCTGAATTAGACTACCAACTGTTTAGTTGAGCATTCATTATTATGCAATGGCAAATTCACAAATGCAGGTAGAATGGCAATAATCTTCTCGTTTTGTTTTCAAGCAGCTGTTTTTAAAGTGTGCTGCTGGTGAACAGGAGATGAAAAACAATCATCAAGATTATTAGCTATAGATTGTTCAGTCCTCCATGAACTTGTATAATTCCCCCTTTAAAAATCTGAAGGGGTGGTGACAAGGGTGAACTACATCAGATGACAGCAAATTTCAGTTTAACTATGTGTTGTGTATTTCTTTTTATTGGCCCTCAATCTCCTCAAATTTAGCTTAATTGTCATTTCTGCATTTAATATTATAAGAGAGAAAGAAAATCTTGTAAAAACGTATTCACATTTTTTTATGTTGGGCAAAAGTGTATACTTTCCCACCAGGTTGGATAGGATAGGCACTCTGCAGGCCCCTTCCCCTAAATGCTGGCATCGATTGGGACTTACTGGTAGGAAGTGTTCCTTTTTCCATAGCAGCCCCTCTCCTGTGGAATGCTCTTTCCGGTGAAAACGGGCAGGTTTCTCCTCTTAGCCATCTGGAAGTCTGTAAAGTGCCAACTCTTCCCCCAAGCATTGGGTAAAATGAGGTTAGAGTCAGTCTGATATTGTTGGATGCATTGGGAAAGGATGGTTTAGGTGCCAGGTTTAAAATTTATTTTTGGCTTTTGTTTGTATGAGCTGCTCAGAGATTTCTATCTTAAGATAATCAACCATATAAGTCTTTTCAATCAATCAGTCTCTTTTATCTGCTTTCATCTCTACTTAAAAGCCCCAAATGCTGCTATTGTTTCTGGGGCTGGGGCTGTAGTCCAGCAGTTCTCAGCTAGGGTCCATATGGTCCCCTGAGGGCCCTAGGATGTTTCAAAGGGGCCACGGGTGAAAAACTATAACAGGCCATGGCATGTACAGAGGGAGCCATAGAAAAGTGTATTATAAATAGACTCTTATTGATATAGGAACATGCACCAGTTAGTGACTTATGTCCATATCCAGTAATGGGGATAATAATAAAAAAGGAAGGTCAGAAAGAATGCATTAGGGGGAAAAGCTTGAGAACCACTGCTGCAGCCCTTTAACTATTTGGGTTGCCTCTTTTTGCCCTTATTCTACCTGGATCCAGGTAGATTGTTGTAAGATTTACTAATTAACTGTTATATTTTCAATTCCTAATGATTCCAAGGATGGAATTTACCATTTTTAAAGCAACCACAGGCTGAACTGACATTTCCACTAAGCTGTCCCCCATGATTCTAAAATCTTTTCAATCTCACCTCCCAGCAAAAAACAAATGAACTTTGCATTTTGTGTGCCAAGTTGTATCACTTATCAATCATGATCATATGAACTTACACTTGCCATTGTAGTTCCCGTTCACCCTGTTTAGACAGATCCTTTTGGATATCTTCCCAATTTCTTTTTGTTAGCAGTTTGGTATCAAGATCATACTGGGCCAACTGACTATGTATTCCTAGCATTAACTTCCTTCACTGGACCCAGACCCAGTCTAGTTTGATTATTCCTTCAATCCGAGAACTCTCCATTTATTCTTATTCTCTGGGCCAGCATTTCTCAACCTTGACTACTTTAAGATACAATATATGATTTCAATTCCCAGAATTTCCCAGCTAAAATATCTTAAAGTTGCCAAGGTTGAGAAATACTGGTCTGGGCAAATCCTGTGGACTCAGAAACACATGGAAGTCTAGCAGTTTGTTTTATAAGCAAGAGAAAAAGGAGAAATCTGTCTGTTCAGGCAACCAGCCAAATTAGGGACAGTTGTCTTTTTTTAAGCCCTCTGTTCGCTTGTGAGAAGCAGCACAGCCAGCATCCTCACTGGAGACATCTCCATTGATCTGAGACCCAGGGCCATTCAGCTCTCTTTATGGTTATTTTCAAAGTTTGAACATAAAATGCATTGGATCTGCATTTTCGTAATACAATGCAAAAAAATTTTCCTTATCCTAATTCAGAGATGCATTTGTAAATTAGAGGAGGCATATAAATTCCCATTAAGAATGACTACAGGTCTGAATTGGGTGATTTTTTAAATTGTGTTTCTCAATGCAGAATGATTGCCCAGGTGCTTTATATTAAAAATAAGCCAAGTGCAGCGACTGCTTATACTCCTTTCAACTTTGCTGTTGTATATTCTGCTGTCTATATACATTAGAAATTTGGAAAAATAGAATCCAAATCAAATATATTTGGGGAACATGAGTTTGGGAGGCAGTTCTCAGTGAAAGATAATCCACATAGAACATTTTTGCTTGTCACTGCTAAGAAATGCATTTATATGGTTGATGCTATTACAAAGATGCGTACATATTCTTCCTTTTGCGATCTTCCCCTAAAATAAGGATTTCTCACTGTCAAGCAGCTTTATGCATTTTATACATTATGTCTGGTGTGAGCAGTTTTGCTCTAGGAAAGCTGTTGGGATAATCCATTCAGCACCAATAGCGCAGGTGAGCAGGGAAAATAACAACTTGTTTCATAACTGTTTTGAAATCCACATTTCCCTTTCTAGCCCATGAAGTTAACTCTACTAAAATGTATGCAGCCTTGGTACATTCTAAAGAATCCTAGATGACGCATCATTCTGAGTTTGATTTTTTATTTTAGAGTGCCGTGCAATTAAAATATTGTAATTCAACTTGCATCATCTGTGACATTATCAAAGGACAAGAATTAATGACAGTAATATTAATCCATCCTTTCATTCAGCTTGTACCATAGCACTGTTAAATTAGCTGGCTTCAGTATACCATATTTTCCTTTTTCTTCCCCTTATCTTCTGTTTTGCTGATTTTCATGCAAATATAAAATATAGATGCTTATTTTCAATAAAATCTCTTTTTTATTCAAGTCTCAGCTTACAAGAGCTAAGTCCCTGATTAAATTCCCAAGTCCAATTTATTTATTGCATACATAACTCATATTTTCTCCAATGAACTGAAGGTTGCATTCATATTCTCCTCCCTCCTTTCATTTACCCTTGAAACAGTCTTGTGAAGTTCATTAAGCTAAGGCAGTAAGTGACAGCTGGCTCAAGGATGCCCAGTGAATTGCCTATAATTGATTAGGAACATCATTTTAACCTTGGCTTAAGTATCATTTTAAACCAGGGATGTGAAATCTGTAGTTTTCTAGGTGCTGTTGAACTATAGCTGCTTAGGAGCCCAACCTAGCCCAGTAATGATCCATTCACATATGCAAAACCAAAATTTGTGACTTCTCATTTGTTACACATTAAAAAACTCTCAAGCCTCAGATGGCTGAATGTTATATTGGACTGTCCTTTAAGAGCAACTGTGGTTGTTCAGCCTGTCTTTCTCTTTGTCCCTATCTAAGCTCTTCACTGAAGGCATCACCAACAAGCTAATGGCTTGTTTCACAGATGAGAATATGAGAGATGCAGTCCTGGTGCGGGTCTATGGCAGGAAAACAGAACTTATTGTGGACCGAGCCAATGAGCTGAGAAATTTCCAAGTCCTTCAGGACAACGGCTGTGCTCCCAATCTCTTCTGCACTTTTGAGAATGGATATTGCTATGAGTTCATGCCAGGGAAGGCTCTGGGACCAGAACATATCCGGGAGCCAAGTATGTTCAGGTATGTGTACTTCCTTGCCCAATAAATCTGATTGTTATTTTTAATTGGAAAAGGTTTTTTGCTCCCTGCTTTTCGTTTGACTTCATAATGCTATTGTGGTGATATAGGTGAAGTATTACTGAACCCCAACCAAAAAAAAAAAAAAACCCTTAGAAATAATGCAGAAAAGAAGAGATGCTCAATGTCAATTTGTCTGAATGGCAGGATACAAGCCTACAAAAGTCCCCTTTCTTTTCTCTGCCCTCACCCCAGATGCTTTTGTTTTAAAATTTTTGAATGAATAAAAAGAGTGTAGCTGATGCATGTTTTGAAATTCAGTGAAGATGCTTAAATGTCATTTTCATTTAATGGGAAACACAATTCCTGTGACAGGTTAACAAACTTAAAGACACTTGGGAAATTATTTAGATCATTTATTGATCTTCAAATTAGTTGTGCAGGAGACCACAAGGAGTATTTCTTTTGCAGATTTTTTTCCTACAGCAATTTTTCCTAAGAGGATGCCCTTAGACAGGTTGAACTATGGTTCCCATTATCCACAGCCAAGGGAGACTAATACAGGCTAGAGATTATGGATGTCATTATCAAATCTTTCTGGAGGTACTAGATTAAGAAAAACTCTTAGTAAGTAAAACAGAAAGCTGCTTTCCAAAGTATTACTATGTGTGAATCCCAATACTTCATAATTTTGATCAATTACTTTGGTGCTGTAGTTAGCACAATCACTAGCACTGATGATATTACCTAGTTTGGATAATGAAACGTCTGCAAGAAAAGAAACAAGCTGAGAGAGCATCAAGGACTTCTCATTTCAACCCTGAGCCACAAATATTTCCCTGTATTGGTATCTAATTAGAAAATAATTAGTGTATTTAAAACAATATTTTGTATAATGTTCTCTTAGATAAGAGAACCCGTATGCTAAATTTGGGGAATGTTCTGGTAATGGATGCAGAGCATCCATCTATCCAGAGCATTAAGTAAGATATGTTGTCATGCTAGATTCATTGGAACTGGGATACAAAAAGTAAAGTACAACATTTGCTGATTTTTGTGGGCCCATTTTAGTTATCAGAAAATGAACTGGATATATTGTAGTGTTTCTTTTTTTGCAGGCAAAATTTTGGAACATTTTGAAGACAAAACCACTTAAATAAACAAAAATAATTTAATAAATTAATTCAGATCTGGCTGGCTTTTCCAAATTAGCACTGATGATGTTACTTAGTTTGGTAATGAAACATTTGCAAGAAAATAACCAAGCTCAGAACCCCCAGTTTAGCTTTTTGTATGTATACTCCATCTGTTGTGGTTTTAATTTGTACAACTCAAAGTAACATGCATAATGTTACTTCCTCCTGTTTTCCCTATAATAGACCATTGTCTTGGACTAAGAGGAACTGGCCTAAAGTCAGCTAGCCAGCCAGTTAGCTTCCAGGGATAAGGAACAACTAAACTCCCAATCTCCCATGTCTTGTCCAGCACCATAGCCACTACATGAAACTGGCTCCCTCTTTTCCATAAGTGGCTACATTAAAAGTAGTGTGTTGCTCTTTAACTATTCGATCTTTGTGATTTGTTTTAGGCTAGTAGCCCAGGAGATGGCAAAAATGCACAGAATTCACACCAATGGGAGTCTCCCCAAGCCTTGTCTTTGGCACAGATTGTACAAGTACCTTAATATTGTGAAAACTGAGTTTGCTCAAAAGGTATCAAATTCCAGGTAAATAAAAAATAAAAAAATGAATACAACAGTTACTCAACAGTTTTGGTTACAGCATTGCAATTATTTTAAGCATATAGTGTAAAATGCTGGGATAAGCAATGAATCGAGGAAAGATAATTAATTTGTTCTCATTTAAAACAAAATTCCCAAATGATAAAAGTTATGATTGGTTCCTTAGACAGATTTTTTGAACTTTCAAAACTGAAGGGATACACATGAATTAATTGAATTAATTTGTCTAATCTATTGTTGAAATCTAAGGCTACCTATGTATGGTTTATCATATTCGATTGTCTTCCATAACCTGATGTTCAGATTCTAATCCAACATATATAGAAAATCAAGAGACAGAACAACTGAGTTTTAATACTGAATAATGTAGAAATATCAGACCTCAAAGACTATAGGTCAGAGTCTTTTATGTTGCAGGAAAATTGACTATTACAAATTTTACATGCTTTAGAATAAAAAATTATATGGTTTAGAATTTCATGTAGCATCATACTGTACAATAAATAAGAGCACACATTCTGAAATATATTTTTCTCTCTCTCTGAACAAAAGGCCTATTTGCCTTCTGTGCATTTAAAGCACAATTATACATTAGTTTACTGTAGGGAACACTCCACAGTACGATCCATTTTTTGCAAGTTCTTATAGCAAGCTATATTCAGACACATTTATTTCAAATATTCCAATATTCCCATCTGTGTATAACTGATACTGTTTTCTAGAAGCATGGTTCTAGTTCTCCTGTTGAGTTGCTTTTCGACTTAGTCCACTTGCACAGATGGGCAAAAGGGCAAGAAGTCTGAGCACAGTATAGTAAGGATTGGGTTTGCTTTGCCATTGACTAAATACCTTCAAAAGAAAGTAGGCCTAAACCAAGGGTCTTCAAACTTGGCCCTTTTATGACTTGTGGACTTCAACTCCCAGAATTCCTCAGCCAGCTTGAAGTTTGAAGATCCCTGGCCTAAATCATCCATGAACATTTGTTGTAAAACAATTGCTAAGTTCGTATAAACAGTTTTTAACTATGGGAGAATAGTAGCATCAGAGGTGATTTAAGAGAAGCTAGGAGCAGAATTACTATTGATGAATAATTTTAATTGATGAAAATTTAACTATTTTAAATATTTATTAGGCAAATTCATCTACATTTGATAGAGAATTATTATTATTTCCTAATAGGGGCCAGCAGTTAGAAAAAGTGAGCTTGTCTCACAAACCTTACTAATTTAAGAAAAAAAGACTGGCAAAAAGGTTTACTGTCTCTCAGTGGACATGGCATCACTTTGTCTTCCTTCTCAAGCTTTCTTCAGGAAATGCAGATTCCTAGCCTAGAGGTGTTAGAAGAAGAGATTCACTGGATGAAAGAACATCTCTCCCAGCTTCAGTCTCCAATCGTCTTCTGCCACAATGACCTTTTGAGCAAAAACATCATCTACAACAAAGCTGAATGTTTGTTACCTTGTTCTCATACATGCATAATACTTGCAAACCAAGCACTGCTATTTTTAAGAAAATCATTCAAGATAAAAATGACAGTTGCACATGAATTTTTTTCCAGAAGAAGCCTCTCTGCTAGAAACTCACTTTCAACAATTTCTGGCTTTATTTTTTCAGGTCATGTCCGGTTCATAGATTATGAATATACTGGCTACAATTATCAAGCATATGACATTGGGAATCATTTTAATGAATTTGCAGGTGAGTGGATACCTTTCCCCCCCCCCTGCATTTCCTGCATTTGCAGAAGCAGGAAATGTCTTATTATATCTAAACTTTAAATATATTATATAACACTTTTCTCCAATAGTAACAGCAGCAACTCATTACTCGCAAAAGGGGCTGCTTTTTAACCTGCTGCCAAGTATCTGCAGATCACCCACTTTGCTGACCTATTTTGCTCCAAGATGTGGGAGTTGTTTCTGGGCTACTAGCTGCCATGTTGTTTCCCAGCAGATTCAAAGAAGGGAAGGCAAAGCTCAAATAATGCTAATTCTTACATTTTAGAAAGTTTGCTTTAAATTACAAACTGCTGAGAAACAAGACTATCACAAGATAAATGGCTTAAAGAGTCCATTGGAGTTGGGCAGCCAATAAATTTAAATAAATAAATAATAGTACCTTAAACAGCCATTTTAGGTAAGACGATTTTCCTACCCTGATCCTTGCTCTCTCTCTCTCTTCAGCAATTCTGATTTTAAGGATGGATTTTAGAAACCAACTTCTTTTCAAGGACCTGAGTGTAATTATCCAGATTTCTCTATTAATTCTCTGATGAATGTTTTTTTTTTTTTTTAAATACAGGAAATCACTATATGGCTAATTAGGTCTGCTTCCAGTTTAGTATATATCTATTCTGTAAGGATCATGAAATCTAAGCTGGGTCAAACTGGAAGCTTTTCAGAAGGAAAATGCAGACGTTGTTACAAAAGATTTATGCAATAGCACTTCTTCAGAACAAGATCTTGGTTGCATGGCTATTTGCTTCTATTGCACTATGTGTTAGAATAGAATTGACATGATGGCAGAAGAGAAGCAGGTTTCTCAGTGTGATTGGTGGTGTACACTGAGAAGAAAATAGGACTTCCTGTTGGTTTTTAACAAACCTTCTAAGATGTTTAGCTGATATAGAACTTGGGGGCACTATTTTGCATCGATTCCAGTGGTATTTGATTAAATGTTTCCAGACCATGATGTTGGATATTGTTCTGCTTCACAGCTACCCTCAGGATCTTATATTGTCCTTTAAAAAACAGAAATAAATGCATAATGCCAGTGGGGAAGATAATCCAGAACCATGTCTTATAATTAACTTTGGCTGGACAATTCAGAATTGTCCTGTATCAGAAATCAGCGAAAGATTGGATGTAGGCCAAAAAAAAAAAAAAGCCTTAAATCAGCCAAACCTCATTCAGGTGCTGCTTTTTGACAATATATGCTGAGGTACTGGCACTTTGCTGCCAGTCCTTGTTCGCTGTGGAAATGATTTTGAAAAGGGTTTGAAAATTCTGGTAGTGTAATACGCAACAGATGGATTATTGTCTTGTAGATACTTTAGAAGCTATTTATTACCAGGCTTAGAACAGCTATTCCCAATGCTTACTAAGCTCAGTTCAAAGTTGCTCTTTTAGATCTATAAATGGCTTGGACCAGAATATCTCAAAAGGCTGCTTCCTCCCTTGTGAGACCACTTATAATCTATAACATTCATCGGGAGCCCTGAAAGAGAGACTAGGCTGGCGGATGTAGTATTCAGAATGTTTTCTACAGCACTGTAATGTTTGAAGCTTTATTCCAAGAGCAATTAGGATGGGTTCATCCTTATTTACTTTTATACATCCAATAAAGACGTATTGTCTGGTTAGACCTTTGATGTCCTCTGCTTGATGTTGAAGCCCAACAAAAGGAAGAAAAGCAATGGAAAGGAAGGATTGAGCTGTGGTTACATTGATTCAAGACTTTTTCTTAGTTTGGGTCTTTTATTCATTCCTTGAATAAACACCCACATTCATTCTTTGTAGCAAATTACAACATGAAACAACAGCTATCCATTAGACTTCTTTTCTCAGCATGCAATTATTTCCATTCTCAGCCTCATCTCCTCCAGCTCTTAAATCTCTCTCCCTCGTTCCACTAGTCAAATTCCTTCAGTCTGACAGAAACTGTTAAGAGAAGCATTCTCTTCTATAAGCTTATTTTTCCTTCTTCTGTTGTAACCTTATCATTTGCAATTTCTTATTAATATGCAACAATAGTACAGTAATGTATTGGGCTATACAAATCTTAAAATCAATTCAGTCTGGCTAAATTTAAGCCCATGTATTTACTGGAGTCGGTTTAATCCATTTCCATCCAGTCCGACATGGACTTAACCGAGTCCTCTTGCCTTCTGTGCTCCCAGGGCTCAACGAAGTCGATTACAGCTTATATCCATGCAAGGAGGTCCAGTTGCAATGGCTGAGGTACTACCTGCAGTCTTACAAGAAACTGAGCCCAGAGGACCAGGGAGAAGGAAACAAAAGCAGAGGAGGGAGTGGAGCAGTGTCTGAAGAAGAACTGGAGAGTCTCTATGTGCAAGTGAACCAGTTTGCTTTGGTGAGTATTTGATCAAAGTGTGGTTAAAACAAGAGAGACTATTATTGCTCTGAAAACAGGCTGTCCAGCTTACATTAATGCAATGGCCATTTTTATATTTATCTTAATTTATTAATTAAAAAGAAGGCCACAGCACCACACTAATTGTTTATTTTCTAATGTCTCTTCATCCCTTCATCTATATTCCTATCTATATATCAACCTGTTGTCTTCTAGATGTTTTGGATAACAGCTGTCATATTTCACAGCCAATATGATTATTGGCAATTGAAATTCATTTATTCAGTTAGAAGAGGGTGTTTTGTAACTATTTATTCTACCCGGAACCCAAACAGCTAACAGATTTGTTTGCCTAAGAGTGGAGACTAGTACTGTAAAAGTCAGCTTCTACTTGCATCAATCTGTGTATGGTTCTTATTCCTGCAGTCCTAGGGGCAATCTAATTTGAATGTTTGCAGCCATGACCTCATAGCTTCAACAACAGTCATTCTTCCCTGTTTAATTTAGATCAGTATAAGATTTTGAAGAATATCAAAGCTACCTGGCTGGAAAATTTAGGTGGAGCCAGTTCAAATATTTTTGTGCCATAATGGCTCAGCTAGAATGACTTTGTTCATTCTGCAGTGTTTTTTAGCTTGTTCCGCTATCACGGTTCTCTGTATTCCCAAGTATTGCCAAATATTAACTACTGTTTTACCTTTCTACACTAGTTTCTTTTAATGCATTATTTTCTCCCTCCCTTCCCAACTGTAAGTAACTGTCTCGGCAGGTACCAAATGCAATGAGAACTCTTTGGGTGTATGCAAGTGCATACTTTTTCTCATGTAGAGTTACATTGTTACATGTCAATACAAATTCTCACTGGTTTCCACTCACACATCTCAGAGGCAACTTTCTGATATTTTGTTGTCTTTTCTCAGGCTTCCCATTTTCTGTGGGCTTGCTGGGGCCTGATCCAAGCCCAATTCTCTACGATAGACTTTAATTTTGCCAGGTGAGCCATTTCTACTTGCATTGACAGGATGCAAAGGAGTTGCTAGTTGTTTGTTTGTTTGTCTGCCTGGCATGGGGGAGGGGAGGGGAGATGCCAGTGACAATCATTCTCTCTGTTGGTTCAGAGTCCTGATCATCAGTGTAAAATGTTATGTCTGCAGTCATATAAGACCTACCTGAGAGCACTTCTGTGAGATTTAATTACAAAAAAAATGTGAAAATCTTGCAACGATTTTAAGTCTTGATAGCCTGTTTACCCTATTCCTCTAGCAATAAAAGTGGGAGCTTCCAGATTTCTAGCTTGGTTAGAGCTTAATAAGCTCTCATTCTAGAAATTAAACATGATAACTTTGACTGTTAATGACCTATTAGTTTTATGCCAAGTCAGTTCTATGCCAACCAAAAATCTGTCTTTATTCATTAATTTCATGGTAGTTGCCTTTGAGTTTTGAGTCAATAACTAAAATATTTTGAAGCTTAATGACTTTTTGGTTTTCAAAGGTTTGCTAGAGAAACTTACACTATATTGCAGTAAGACACCTAAAGTCTCAATGCATTATAACAAAAAAAAATAACAAATAACATTTTGAAAATATCAGTGAAGAATCAGTTTTAATAGAAATCCCTGATTCTTTCCTTGATGTCATTCACACTTATGCCCCACATCCTAAATATGGGCTTCATATTATAAACCTTACCATGGTTGATTAAATATAGATGAGATGAAGAGAAAGATAAAATGAAACCAAATGTATAAATGAATAACTTGATTTGCCTTCTTTCTCATGGTCCTCAGTTGCCTTGTGACCCATTGAACAACTGCTCATTTTAAATTTCCTGCAATTTTTGCAATTTTACATTTACATTCCCAATCACCTATATCTGTCATTTATTTCCAAATAACCTTGCATGGGATTGGTATTTTATCCACTTTCTCAGCCAAGGCAATTACTCCTAGGTAAAAGTGAGTTTGGGATTTAGCCTTTGCCTTTTTTTCTTATTACTGTAGTTAGCTGATAATGGACTTAAACCCATCTTCAAATCAAAGGTGGGATCAAAATGTTTAGAGTAAGCAACATTTGAAGAATGTCTATGTAGATTCTCAATCATCCAAGCCATGGTTGTCCCAAAGATGCTTTTCTAAAGGCAACTGGACTATCTTTGTTTTTTTTTTCCTCTGAAAACATTTTTCAAGGAAACAAGAAAGTTCAGTTGCGTTTGAAAAATAAATTTGGGACATTTAAAGACATTCAGTTTTGATGACAAGTCATAGACGTCAAAGCAAAGGTCAAAAGCTGAGAAAAATCCAGATTAATATTTTAAGGGCATACCAATTCATTGGCTGTGCTGCTCCAATCTTGTATTGGAGCAGCATAGATGATGATGATTTTTATTATCTGCATTAATTCAAAAATACTCCCTAGAATTATTAAGCAGTTGGTTATCTGGGAATCAGGGCATTTGTGATTATTCTAGAAAGCATTTAATGCAGGAGAAACTCTTCCATTTAATGAGAATTTAGAGGTAACCACATGTAGATTTTATGACAAATTTGAGAACCAAGAAAGTAAATTAAATGAGACATGGATTTAGAATAATTTTGACCAGAATTCCAGATTAGGTTAAGTCTGATGCATTAGCAACATGGTGGGCATGGAAATGAATGGTTTGCATATTCCCATACCTTACACCATTTTAAAATTGTTCCTTTAATTCTATACTTTTGTCTGAGAGTAAGTAGATGGTTCAAGGTCACCTAAAAAAGTCAGAATCTGATCCCCAATTTCAAGTCCTAGGCTAATATTTTCATTGTTGCACATTATTATTGTTGATCTTTTACAAAAGCTTGTAAAATCATCCTATTATGAGCATCATATGTGAATTATCAAAATAAGCATGTTTATAAAAATGTAAGAATGTGTATAAATGCATGAGAAGTATCAGTGTAAGAATTCAGTGTTTAAGTGTTGTAGATGTATGTGAGAAGACAGACACACTGGATAGAAAGCACATCTGCAATTTTTTTTGGCATAATCTTTCATTTGTAGACACCAAAGAGCACCACATGCTACAAAATTAATGTGTACGAAGTGTTCATAGTATTATACATAACAAATATCTATCTTTATATTGCTGTGCAGGTACGCAGACATAAGATTTAAGCAGTACTTTAAAACAAAACCTGTGGTGACTTCCCTTCAAATGTCCAAGTGAGGTTAAAGTCCAAAGAGTCTTCTGGTTCTCAAGATTCCACTCTTATTTTCTCTGGTGTAGAGCACCTGCCACCCTCTCCTCCTGCAGTGCTGAGTGGTCAGACATCATGAAACAGGGCTGGGAAACAAAAGTGCACCTTCCACAAAAGCAAAAAAATCTACAAAGCCCCTGAACTTGGCTGTGCCATCCACGGATTACCTGCCACATGTTGGTTTCAGAAGGTGATGTTATGACATGGCTGCTGGCAAGAGTTTCTGGGGCATGTGCAGGGAAGATTCAAGGGTTTCTGGGCTTAATAAGTGGGTGGCCAAGAGGGGAGAAGGTTTGCTTAGAGATTTATATAACCTTGAAGGTTATTGCTGGATGACACCTTTGTTCCTTGACTAGAAGAAAGAAAACTAACAAGAGTTTTGTTTTTGTTTTTCAAGAACATGGGATTCTGATCTTTTGGTTTGTGAGAATGGAGGAGGAACAATAGCTTCTCTTTACAACAATGAAAGAATCCATTCTGAGATCTGCTCCACTCTCTACATGTGTGTGTGGAGAGAAAATCCATGACTTAAAAGATTAAGACCCTGAAGCTGGAATAAATATTCCCACATGCACCAGTTTTAAAATATGGAACATTTAGGCTCAGGGAAAGTCCCAGTCCTTAAAGAGCTATTACAACTTTGGTCAAGCTCTGAGCTGATGGCCTCCCTGAACTATTAACTGACAACAGAGAGCTCTGTGCTGAAAATTGTATTAGACATTGTGGGCAATTTCAACACCTATATTCTGAAAGTCCAACAATGTAGGCAACCTCAGATTATGCGTGCATCTAATTCATATAGTGCCACTTTGAAGAGAGCAGATGTTACTACCTAGAACCTAATATGACAAAAGCACAAAAGACAGAGTACTTTTCATAAGGAATAGATGTACCAAGTTTATGCAATACTCTGTTATTGTAATGGCCATATGTATGAAAGAAGTTTACTTATCTCTCCCAATCACAAAATTGCATCCTGTTCCAAATGGTGCATTTCCATTCATGTGCTGATTTGCCCATAGAGTCTGCTGTAATATTACATTGTGCCATTCAGTATTTTGAGAAGGTGAATTCCACAAAATTAAACATGTTAATAATACAAATACATAAATATAAGTAGGGAAGTTGATGTAGCATAGGAAAAAGAAAGCACACCAATAAAACCCGGTAACAAGGTTTTTTACCCAAGTTTATTACCTGTTTACCAATTTAGTGCAGCTTTTTGCCACCTGGACACATCCAGCAGATTCAGATAGTAACTCCAAAATTACCAGCCCTGCTCTGACTAAGAATTCTGGAATTTGAAGACCCATTTTATCTAAAGACGGCCAAATTAGAGAAGGCTATTTCATTCATACAGCAAATAAAAATCTTATGACTGCATGAGCATTGGTATAAACTGTGACATAGACAGTCTGGTCTCCTCAGTCAATCCTTTTGTTTCACAACTTTACCTTGTATATAAATAAATTTTATACCCCTTATATTCAGATTGTGGAACAGGAAACTAGAACCAATCTGAATATCCTTTATGATTTGCAAAAAGCTCATACTGTTACGGTGCTTTATCTTCAAGAAGATCATTTGGGTTCCTTTGGTTAAAGGGCCAAGTTTATACATACCCTTTACGGGTTCTCCAGTCAAAAGTGGATCAGCATTTCTGCATTGCCCTATGGATAGATAAAACGGAAGTATGAAGGCATACTGGGAATGAAACTGTTAGGATCAGTCCTTGGGTCTCTATCTGAGGCACTGTAATCAGTATAAAACATGTCATTTCACACTCTGAATTTTCTTTTGTCCACATTTTCTATCAGATGGGCTTTTATTTTACTCAGCAAACAATTACTAGAATTAAAAACAGATGATCTCTCAGTTCCTATGATGTCTCTTCAGCTTAGTTATGAACTTAGAAAATCAAATGTCCACTGAATTTGTACTTTGGAGCAAAGATGCAAACAACAAGCCTCCTGCAGGCTTGTAATTGCAATGCTATTATAATTAATTTCCTAGAATCTGATTTCCTGTAGTTTCCTCATACTAGGATAGCTGGTGCAGAATTGCTGTTAAGAGAGGGCATTTGGTATCCTTAGGAAAGGGGACAGTCAAGCCAGTATTTGCCAGATGCTTTGCATTTACTCCCATAAGCTGCAGCCCATGTTCCTGGTTGTAAGATATTATGAAATTGTAGTCCAAAATATCCAGACAATATAAGACTGCCTTAATCCTATCTTAGACAATTTTTGTGCTTGGGTAGCATTTACTTCCTTTTCCCTTTGTAGAAATGCTTTGCTTTTTAAAATACCAGTTAGCTATTGAATAGTTGGATAAAAGTTGCATATTTACATTCTCTGCATTCCTGATCCAGCCATTAACCCGATACACTATTCATTATATATCTCTATACCTTTTCAGCCTTGCTGTATTGCCTTTCTTCTTTTTCTCAAAACATTCCATTCAATCACTATCTTGGTCTTCCCCCTTTTTTCAACCCATTCACCCTTCATGTATATTTTGTGTGTGTGTGTGTGTGAGAGAGAGAGAGAGAGAGAGAGAGAGAGAGAGAGAGAGAGAGAGAGAGAGGAAGTTGATCCTCATTCGTTCTCTGATGGCCATACTTTTTTTTGCAATGGCTATTTACATTTTTATGCAGTCCACATTTCAATGGGCATCCTCTCATTTTATATTCTATCTGTGTTTGACCTCACATGTATTTTAAGTGCCCCATTCCTGGTGCATTCAACTCACTTTAATATTTCTTTCGACATACCCAACTCTCACATCTGTGTGAAAATGAGAAGGATACAGCCTCTCTTCCTTTTGACAAGCATCCATTCTTCACGACAGACAATACTATCTTTTCATCAGCATTGTACATTTTTTTTTCCAGTTTTGCATCTATAGTAAACAGTCTAGCAAGATAAGTTCACCTACCTGTGATGTTTTAGCTGTTTAACTGTAACATATAACCTGCAATCATTCATTCCATTTTCATTATCAAGAACAACTACCTTGGCCTTTATTGCATTAATGTTCAGATAACTACTAGCCCCCCCCCCCAATGGATAGTAGAAAGCAGGACAGTTTTTAAATTATAGGGTATCCCTAAGCATTATGAACATGTCCTCTAAACTGAGTTAAAGACTTGAAACAGAACTGATGAAATTATTCTTTGATGTTTCCTGTTTATAAATGTAGCTATTGTTATTTGGTAAATAATAGTTACAGAACCGATCTTGTGAAAATTGGACAAATCCTAAGTTTTATGACAGGATTACACTAAACCTCACTGTGACTCTAACCAGCATAGCTTGGAGTCCTTCAGGTGAATTTGACTTCAACTCTTAACAGCCAATATAGACAATGCATTATGGGAGGTTTATAGAGAGAGAGGTGTAATTTGTGAATGTAAATACAGGTGAAGAAAAGATGTATAAGATCTTGTCCATGGTCACTTATGACAATCATTATTTATGAATAAAATCCATGAACTTCTGCCTTCTCTGTACTTCTGAGCTCATATGCTGCAATGGAACTGACATCTGTTAATATATAATCCTTCCAAATAATGGGGAAGTTGGAGGATAAAATGGATTAATTGGGTGGATATAATGAGCAGGATCAGTGGAGTACAGCTGTGGAGAAAAGATCAAGAGTGGCATAAACCATCTTATTTGTTCAGAAAACAAAACACATTGCTTCATTTTTTATGCTTATACCCCTCTTAGAAAACATCTCCCCTTCCTTCTTCCCTTTCTTAATTCATGATAGGACCTCCTTGGTCACTTTTCTGCAGATCTTTTTCTTTAAAAGTGCCCTGCTTGCTTTGCCTGTTCTTACCAAGGCTTTCTGACCTCTCATTAAAAATTCTGCTTTTCCCATTTTTTCTTTCCCTCCATCTCTCTTACAAGCAAGATGCTGACTTCTGAATAAACCTCCAAAAACACAACATGCCAGTCAGGAGACACAAGAAGACAGAACTTTCAGAGCCAGAAAGTTCCTACTGAGAATCTTCCCAGGGCAAAAAGACCAAATCCTTCAGCCATAATCTAAATTTTCTTCACCTCTGATGCAGGTGCTTGATTTCAAGCGAAAGGATAGGCCTTCTTGTCTGGGCAAAAGTATTCTGACAGGCCTCCGGAGGGCAGCAAAGAGTTATGAATGCATTCATTCTTTTGACCCAGCAGCTGCAAATGTCTGCTTGTGAACCATTCCCTTCCTCTCCCCTGTAGCAGCTTCTCTACTCTAGGTAATTTTTATGACATTGTAATTTCATGTTTTTCTTAAAGGGGCAGATGTTGTTATCAGCAGCCTTACTGATGATTCCGAAAGACCCAATAGTTTGGAAAATGGGATGGGATGGAGCTAGAAAAGTGAGTTAAATATTAGGAAAACGGCTTCATCATGTGGTGTATATAGAAAAAAAGATTAATCTCAGACTAGAAAGTTTAAGAAGCTTGTAGTGTGCCGAAGTTAGATGGTGACTTAGCAACCTGTAATCATCTAGACCAGTATTTCTCAATCTTGGCAACTTTAAGATATGTACACTTCAATTCCCATAATTCTCCAGCCACCATGTCTGGCTTGGGAATTCTGGGAAATTAAGTCCAGACATCTTATAGTTCAATAAAATCATTACTTTTGGCTGCCAACACTATATGTACCCTCCCTAGGAGCTACACATTATCCCACCAATAATTTTATTTTGAATTATTAAAGAAAGGCCAGAGTTCAATATCTGGTTTTGTACAGCATTCTAACTGGGATAAACAGGATTGTGTAGTTTGTGACAGCATCCAACCAGTTTAAAGTATTGTGTGAACCCAGCCTTATTGTTCAAAATGGCCTTCTTTATAACAACAAAGTCTTAACCATCAAAAAACTTTAAAATGCATTTTATAAGATTTAGCTGGTTGCCAAGTCAGCCCCTTTGGATTTTTCAAAAGCTTTATCCAATTAACTGGATGTTTTATTGTCAGCTGTGCGCATCCTAATTCTGAAGGCTTATCTAACATTGCTAGACATATGCAGAGCAACTGAAATTTCATTCAGTGCATGGCTTCCTTCATTACCTCCCTTCACCAAAGAGGGAAAGATAGCACTGCCATAATATAATGAAGAGCGGAATACAAATCACCTTAGTATATAAAATATCTCTTGCTCCATTTCCTCATATTTAGTGCAAAAGCAATCAGAATCACAACATTATTAACACATGTACCAGCTATAGAAAATACTAATGTCCTTTTAAGTTAGAAGACATTCACCCTTCCTCTGAGACACTGTTGTGGAAGGGAGTGGTTTTAGTCAGTTTCCTTTTTCACATTAGAGGTATTTAGTCTACTCAGGATTTTTACAGTTTTGCCATATAATCCATCTTAAATATCATTCAGAGAAAGCAAAGGCAGCAAAAACTATTACTCTATATAGTATCTGTCCTTGGTTTTTGGGAGAGCAGGAAAAACTCATAAATTGTGCTATTTTTTTGCATTTCAAGATTAGGCTGGATGAAAAGTAAAGCTTATTACTCTTATTTAGAAGGCTTCTGGGTGCAGGGACCTCTGTGGAGGAAATTCCTAGAGGGATAGTACAAAAAATGTTAAAAGCCAACATTGCCACCTAAACAATCTCAGAATGGCTCATTGGAGCGGTGAATGCTCCAACACTGGAAGTTTTTAAGAAGAGACTGGACAGCCATTTGTCTGAAATGGTATAGGGTTTCCTGCCTGAGCAGGGGGTTGGACTAGATGACCTCCAAGGTCCCTTCCAACTTTATTATTATTATTGTCCTGACTACAGTCCTTGTAGGAATGGGCAGATCAATCTCTGTTCCCTCCATCCAATCAAGAAGGGAACACAGAAACTGGATCTTGAACATCTTCTCACCCTGTGTCTAGTTTTTACTTTGCTGTCTTTGTTCTTGGGGAGGAAAACAGATGAAAAGTCAGTCTAGACAAATCTCTACATGAGTTATGATGCTTTCACAAGCAAGGTGGAGGTGGAGAGCCGTGGAATTGGTTCAGCAGTGGGCAAAGTGTTTGCCCATTTAACCCTAACTGCAAAATGGAAATGTTTTTATTTGAATGTCTAGGTAGCCAATCTGCCTTTTTCTGAAATAATATATACTATATAGAAATTGGAGCCAGAGTGGGGATTGCTGCACAGCATAAACAATACAAAAGCTCCATGGAGCAGTGTCATAAATTACCTAATTCTCTGTCTTCTAAGCAAGTAGGAGGCTTAAGCTGTCTTTGACATCTCCACCTATCAGACCAAGATGGAACCTGCTGCCAGGATCTATGTTTCACTCTTTGCATAGCCTGTTAATACAGTACTTTCAAAGCAAAGATTAGCATTTTTCCAAGGTAGTGCATTCTGGATACTCGTATGGAAGCAAAATTGGTTTTTAAACACTGAATTGCTGAGAGCATTTTTGGCAAATTTATCTTCACGAGATCATATAATGTGCATACTATTTGCTAGGGAGAATAAAGGAATAGCATAGCAGGAAGTTTTAGGAAATAAGTGAACTTATTTATACAACAGGATCTCAACCATCTTTACTTCAGAGGGATTCACAATGATACTGCATTGTCATGTTCTCAGTGTTGACACAGTATTGTGCATGGGTCTCTTTCATTATGTGATGTCATAGTGAGGTAAAAGCTTCAGAGGGAATTTAGATCTACTTAAAAACAGTAAAACACATTTTTGCCCTGAAGATTAAAGTATATGGAGTATGTCAGTATGAAATAGAAGTCTCTGTAGATAATTGTGTTATTAAAACAATCACAGCATACCAGCAAACTGTTAAAAAAGGCCTGAAGACAGATACAGGGTCATTGGCCTTATCTCAGAGGCATCACAAACCTCTCAACGCACCACATTGAGGTGTGTTGATGTATATCTCTACTCGTCCTCATATAGTCAGAATCAAGCAATTTATGAAGTTTTATAGCTTGATTTTTATACCATGAAAAATTGATTTGTTATCTGAACACAAACAAGATTGCAGTGCGGGTGACATTGTGTAGTAGTATTGTGTACTTGAAAGAGAAATCTGCATAATTATGCGATGTAGTTACTGTTTGAAATATATGATTGCTTTGAAGCTTTAGGGGTTTTCAGAACCATTGCTTTACGTGGTGCTTGTTTGTCTCGAGAGCAAAACAGTTGAGCAAACTGAGGTAACAGGGTAAAAGCCAACAAAGGCATCTTTAGTATGGGCAGAACTTTCTCAGTTCATCCAAGCAATGAACTGGTTAGGCTAAACTTTCAAGGATTAGTCTACATCTCTTAATTGATTACCTCACAGTGACTTGCTATTTTTTTTTATAAAAATGTGCAGATGCCAGCACTTCTCTCTTTGTATGTGGCACCACTAATTTTCTTAGCAATTTTCATGTACTCCATTCCATTCGTGTGCTCCATTCCATGTACATAAACAAGATTTTTCTGTATTATGATAGTTGCTGACAATATTGAATGAACTGTGTGTTCCTACAGGTACATGTCAAATCGGTGGACTTTGTTTCTTGAATGAAAGACAAAACGGAACTTTTAAACACCAAATGTCTCTTTTCATCTATAAAGCCAATGTTAAAATTAAAAACTGGAGGGAAGATGTTTTGTTTCTGAGTAATCAACTATTCTTATTATGCAGCTTATTGTCTTTGGTTAGTTCATTTGTTTAAATCAGTACCTAAATTAGGCTGGGAGCTGTGCTTCAGCAGCAACGAAAGGGTCTCAGATTCTCTATCTCTCCTGTCTTCTGCTCCAATACTTATTCTACATAAGTAGTATTATTTCTTGTCATGTTTAACTGGCTTTAGAAGAGATAGAAAGAAGTAGAAGCTACTAACCTAATACCTGGGACACAATCATACATGTCTGGGCCGATGATCAAGAGAGATCCCTGTCTCCCTCAAAGAGATTTTTCCGGTATCATTTGCCTGCTCAAGGTAATTTCTCTCAGGCAATTGCTATGCTTCAAAGCAGCCAGAATACAGTACAGTATTGTACATGGATCTGTACTACATAGTTCTCCACAAAACAGAGACATTCTCATTCCAAAGGATGCACTAATGATCAAGAAGACACAGCCAACTATCTCTACCATGTTAGTTTTTGAACAACTACCAACATGAATACATGAGGCTGCTGAGGTTTATGGCCACTGCAGTAACTCCTATCTTACATTGATGGATTGCAGTATCTGACTGGCAAAGAGGGCCCTGAAATGTCTGCTACAGCAAAGAAAATATTATAGATCTTGTGAGATGCACCTCTCATTTGAAGTAGCTTGGAACCACGAATATTGGATCTCGGGACATCAGGAGAATAAGATGAAGCACTCCAATCTGTTATTTTTTAATCTCAATTGAAATTAATCACAATGGTTTTCTAAGACCATTTGTTTAAAAACAATTATTTTAATACTCATAGAATTTATGCATTGCCTCCTCTTCCTCTCTAAAGGTGAAAAGATTTCAGAAATATGTTTTTTGTCCCATAGATAATAGACTGGAGATTTCAACGATGTTAAACACATCAGTATGAACAAGGATGACGTATCATCATGCAGATGGAGGAAAGTGTAAACATTAATGGCATTATCACTTGTAAAAGACTACATTATACTTTGAAGGAAATAAGCCTCTTTAAGAACAGTGGAATTTACTACCTCATAAACACATGCAAGACTGTAATATTAAGCTTCAATCCTACACAAATCTACCCAGGAATAAATCTTACTGAACTTCCTGGGAGTTTCTTCCACGTAAACAAGCATTACAACTGCATCAGTGTTTGCAGATAATTCAGGGAAATCTAGCATCGTGTACCTTCTCTATTTTAAAGACTAATCACATCTCCGCAGCCTTTAACTGTTAAAAGGAACAAGCACAATGAGTTAGGTGGCAATGTGAATTTTACAAAACTAGAACTAGCACAGATCTCTGTTCCAAAACATCTTTATTGTACCAAGAAAAGGAAAACCCTTTATAAACAAGAGTATTGAAATATACAGGTTAAGTTACTAGTCTTATTAACAAAATAAAGCTCTATCTATATGTACAGACTTTTTAAAACAAAACAAAAATAAAGCAGCAGCCAGTTGCTAAAGCACAGTAGAAAGGGATAGCATTATGAAAAACTGAAGGAACAGGGAACAATATAGATCAAAGCCTATCTTGATGCTCTCAAGGTGCTAGACTATAACTCCATGATGCTTGCCCATCAAGATGTTGGAAGGGATGGGAGTTGTAATCTAACACAGCTAGAGGGCACCAGGATCAAAAAAAGGTGTAACCCATTCTCATAATGCTTATTATACATAAACTAAGTGATTCACTTCCTCCCTAGAAGATATAATTGCATTTTTGTTCTTTTTAAAGTTAGAATAAAGAAAAATAAATTGGACAGCTACAAGTAGTTTGGACTTGTTTAAGCTAGTCAGGGACATAAGTCATACATAATGTAATGAAATAATAAAAGCTGTCATGAAAGAATGCCAGACAAGAGTTTTGTTTGTCATAAACAAAAACAGAACTCCCAGATTCTATCCAGATATACCTCAGGTGCAGTGTAGTGTCATCACACAGTGATACTAAATTGTGATGAGATTATACCCACTAAGATCAAATTTCAGAGTGACAATTATACTCTTCTGTTGCAAGAAAAATGTTTTGCATGCTCAGCATGCAACTTTTGTCAACTTCTTGCAATAAGCTTTGGCAGACTTATGAAGGACCGCATTTTTAAAGATAGTGACATTAGGAACCAATATTCAAGGGTTTGTAAGGAATGAAACAGGTGCATAAATCCTCTGTAAAATGTAAGATATGTATCTCATTCTTAATCACCTCCCAGTTATCAAAAATGCAAAAAAATAGTGATCTTTTGTCATATGTACTGAAATGGAGTACAAAAGAGATGCTAGTGGGCTTTTTGTAATATTAAACTAAGGGTGACTCCAGACAGTGTATATGGTATTATCAATCCTTACTTTTCTGCCATAAATGACAAATAGGGTTGTAATTTACCATCTCTGCATGTGCACATACTGTTATGCTTCACCTGGCAATGGGCATGATACAATCATGTGGGCAAGGCTAAATTTCTTCCATGATCTCATATCTGATCTCAAATTGTGGAGATCAGTGTGTTGTATTAATAGCTTGGTTACCCTAACACAAAAAAGGGAATTTGTCAAAAAATGAAGAATGGCATGTTTACTTTAAGAATGCCTAATTTAGTTTCTCAGTGACATTACAACTTCTGACAGTAGAAAATAAAAAGATTCCCATGCTGAGATTTAAATCCAGTGGAAGTGTACAAAAATATTTAAAGGACTATCTAAAAGGGATAGGAGCAAAATATGTAAAATGTATGCAAATGTACATAATTAATACACCAGAGACACAACTGCATATGTATATCATGATCCTGTACATCCTCTGTGCCTCTCTCAACACTGTTCTTCCATGTACTGAAGCTAGCCACTGGTATATCATTAACCAAGAACACTTAGCTAATTTAAACCAGGGCAAGACTGCTGCTTTCACTAATGCCACTAAAGGATAGAGTAAGAAGGAGATGAAAGAAGCCACTCGAATACATTATACACGCAACTTGGATGATTTGAGCATGGTAAGCAAACAAATACTTATACTGCAAACTATGAGTATTGAGTTCAATGTAGGGAAAAATGAATTTACAAGTATACTGAAGCCTACCAGAGGCTCAATAAACTAGTGTGACAAAAGTGGACAAACCCTTTAAAGTTGCTGAATTATAACATCCTATTCCTCATGAATTATAACTCCGAACAACTAGAAGGATGCAGGTTTCCTACCCTGTACTACAGCATCATTAGACTAATTCAATTAAAGTATCCATTTAAAAGAATTTCTATTCCTTCACAGATGTTTCAGAATAGTTTTTTGAAGAAGGTGCCCTTCAGGTATGTTGGATTATAATTCCCATCATGCACCTTTGGTGCTTTAGTGGGTGGGCATGAAAAAGCTATTACCCTCGTAGGGAAACAATTTTGGAAAGATTGCCTCAGAAACTTCACATTTTATCCCTTAAACATCAAGTCAGCTTTCTATTGCTGCAGGGCATCCTGTGTGTACTGAGAATTGGCAAGCAAACAAGGGTAGGAGGGAAACAGGCCATGGCTTAATTTATAAGTTGGGCCAAGGCTGCCAAGGGTAAAGGCGGCCCTTCGAGACCTCAGTTGCTATTCATTCAAGTCCAGAGCTAAAAATGGCTCCATGGGAATTTATTGGCAGGGCCAGTGGGAATGGAAAAAACAAACACACACAAGACAAATGAAATTAGAGTGGGGGAAAAGGCAGAACTAGTTGAAATCCGGAATGAAGGGGGAATAAGCGTTCCACCCAGATGTTTCACTTAAGGAAAGTGAAAAGGCTCCCCAAATGTTGGTTGAATGCTAGTGATTGGGTGGCTAATATAAGCTGATGCAGCTGGCCAGGTTGTAAACAGGTGAAGCCTCTGTTTGGCTACTGGTAAAGTAAGCTTTCACATCAGCTTTTTGGGGAAAGGAAAAAAAGCCGTAGAGAAAACGAATGAGAGACATAATTGCTACCCAGCCACAGAGCATTTGCCCCAACTCCAACCCAACTGAACACTACACAAAATATACATACAGTTGCGATTGGAAGGAGGAAGCTTTTTCCAGTCAAACTTTCATTCCTGAGAGCATAACTACTGAGCTGCTAGGAAGATGGGTTCAAACATTATAGGTTCTGAAATCTGCTCGGTATTTCAATTATCATTCTTCATCCTTTAGTGACTCCATAATACCTTGTTCCCCCTTATTTAAATTTAGTGAAGATTTGGGATATCATTAACAGGAGTTCTGACCTTAGTAAGAAAAAATACCAGATTTGTTACAAGATTCGTAGTCAATTCATGTTCAATTTCCTTGCGTAAATTCAGCAGGTCAAAGAAAAAAATTCCTCCCTTTCCACAGAAGATAAATGGATGGGAAATAAACTCTACCAATACCACAGATGGTGGCATAAAGAATTGTTCCTCTGCTCCGTGTCCATTTCCACTTTAACAAGCTCCTCCCCCTTGTTTCTTCCAATGCCTTTAATTGTTCCAGGTTGGAAAGAGGACAAAGGCTTGTCCATATTTTCCATACTTGCTCGCTTCTTGTGACATTAGTCTGTGAGAACCACTAGCTCGCCATCACTCTTCTCCTCGCCCTCAGAATCCTCATCTTCACTGTAGTGGTACATCTCCCCATCAGGCATTGAATGACTGTCCTCTGCCCCATCCCCTTCCTCTGGCTTCAGACTACATGTGTTCACTATGACTGGCATGTTTGGTTCCATGCCATGGGACAAGTAGTGATCCATCAGTGGTGGAGCTAGCTGAATCCCAACTGATCGCTGGTACATGAGATCCGAAGAGGAAGGTGGCATCTGGCTGCTTTGGGGTCTAGGAAAGACATTACAATGTATCATAAAAGTTATGCCATCTTACATTCTGTTCCAACCCCATCCCCAACTCTGCATTCACACATTATTGCACTTCCCAACATGGAACAGGTAAGCAAGAATAGAGAAGCTGTGATATTTTATTACTGAACTAAGCATTCCTAATTATTGGTCATGTAATGGAGGCTAATGGTAACTGCAGTTCAGTAGTATCTTGTGGGCCACCACTTCCTTACTCCTAAGAAACAACAATGCACTGGTCATGTGTTTGTACAACACTGGTCTCCCTGGACTGAGATCTGATCAACTGTCTTCCAGCAACCTTCTACAAGAAAATATTGCTGGACCTTCCCTTCTTCATCTAAGCTTTCAGAACTGCCTGATTTCACCTAAATGCTAATCATGCTTATACGATCCAGCAAAATGTTTAACCATATCTTTGATCCCTTCAGGTGGCAAGGCTACCAGACACACAAAGACTATGAACTGGGTTAGCTATTGGTAAGGTCAGGGCAAATAAGCCCAGGAAGACATCGCAGGTCACAGTTAATGACGAATCAGGAACCTGAACCTTATTAAACTATCTCTGACTTGCACAAGACGGGCTGTGCGGTTCCCTTAAAAGAGGTGAATTTCAGACATAGGAACCTGAAGGCTCAGAAAGCGGTGCTCAAGAGGAACAGAGAAAAGGGACAGGAAGCCTCACGCAATCAGGTAGCCCTGCCTGGCATCCTGGCGCCGATTCCTCATCAGTGCCTTGTATTCGCCAACACGAAGCCGCTTCCCTTCCACAATGCAGGTGCGTTTGGGGCGGGGCTTGTACTTGTAATTGGGATACTTCTCCAGATGCTGGCGGCTGAGCCGTGCTTGCTCTTCATAATAAGGCTGCTTCTCCTGATTAGACATGGATTTCCATCGGGATCCTATAAAAACAGAGAGCAATGAAAAAGGATGATTTCAATTACCTTTTTTATTCTTCCTCTTCTGCAGGGTCCTTCTCAGTCTCATGCTAGGCCAGAATATACTGTTCTTAACAAATGGTCTTAGAAGAAAAAAGTACAGGGACATGACAAAAGTGGATCACTGTAGATTAAGATGAAAAACAACTCCACGTCTGCAATAATTCCCCTGAAATAGCCAATTCAAAACAAATATGGCACCTTTAAAAACAGAGTTTGAGACATAAAACAGGGATGGGCAACCTTTAGATAATCAGAAACCAAACAGCAACAGCAACAACTTCTTTTTCTTTGAGTTGCAGTGAGTGGATGGAGAAACAAACTGGCTATGAACATTACCAGGGCTTTCTAAGTTTACAAAGGTTGGGGGACTATTTTCCCCCTTACATTCAGCCTACTTTGAGACAGGTACATGGTTTTGCTGATTTTTGTAATCAGAGGGGTCCTGAGGCCACAGAGAGGATTGGGTGTTATATGCAACAGTTCAGTCTCTTTGAAAAGACAAATTATATGAAGGGTTAATGTAAATTGCTTCTTTAACCAGATGCGGATCTAAAGGTTATCATACAGCTGTGCATTTATCTTTCATTACTAGGCAAAAAGAATTATTTCTACAGACTGCTTTATGTCCAAGAACATAGGGCAATTCTACACTGGCAAGGCTAGTCCTGTAGAACTATATGAATGATCATATCACATTGGAACTAGGAGCTCCAGAAAACATCTGGCTGTGTTGCCTATTTAGAAATGTAAACTGAGATATTAAACAAGCCGTACTATGTAGTTAATGGCTGTTCTGGGTCTTGTGGATTACAAGATCCATGTAGCCCTCAAATTACAACCACAATTGAGGCCAAAAATTCTGTTGCTAAGCAAGACTGTTTTTAGGTGAATTTTGCCCCATTTTAAGAGCTTTCTTGCCACAGTTGTTAAGAGAAATATCACATTTGTTAAATTAGTAACACAGCTGTTAAGTGAATCTGACAATTGGCTTTGCTTCAGAAGGTTACAAAAGGTGATCACATGACCCCTGGACACTGCAACCATCATAAACACATGCTAGTGGCCAAGCATCTGAATTTTGATCACATGATCAGAGGATGCTGCAGTGGTCATAACTCTGAAAAACAGTCATTAAGTCACTTTTTTCAGTGCTGTTGCAGATGGTCACTAAGTGAATGGTTGTAAGTCGAGGACGACCTGTATGTGATCCTCAGTTTGACCAAAACAAAGTGGGCATTGCTCAGTTTCAAAATGAAAACATCTCTCAAAACAAAATATCAATTTCCTTCCTCCTTTTTCTTTAGAAGATAGAGTAGTTTTCTCACAAAGCGTAATTCATGGAAACAGAGGCAAGGATCACAAATGTATCTAGATGAGTCCTGTTTGTTTAGGAATAAAATTAATTTTTAGATTTATGAACCATTTCACTGTGGCCTAGGTAGGTCAGGGATAGGCAACCTTGGCTCTTTTATGACTCGTGGACTTCAACTCCCAGAATTCTTGAGCCAGCTATGAAGTCCATGAGTCATAAAAGAGCCAAGGTTGTCTACCCCTGGCCTAGGTGGTGTGCAAAATTAAAACCAAAAACAATGCAGTAAAAATAAATTGTAAAGAAGGACGAACAATAATGGCACAATTTTTCCTCTAGCTCAGTGTGTCTCACAGTTAGCAACTTCAAGATATGTGGATTTCAACTTCCAGAATTCCTCAGCCAGCATGAAGTTGAAGTCGACACATCTTAAAGTTGCCAAGTTTGAAAAATGCTGCTCTAGATGCTTGATTACCAATGGCCTTCTAGAAAAGCCAGATTCTAACTATTCTCCAGAAGGCCATAAGAGAGCAGGTTGGGGGGGGGGTTACACGACTCTTGCTTAGCCCCTGAAGCACAGGTATACAGTGTTAACCTGTGTATATATTTACTCAGCATTTAATTGTACATCAACATGAAGGCATCATGTGGAAAAAGTGTTATGTGTGAAGATGCACTATTGTCAAACGGCAAGAGAATCCATTTATTTAATGAGACCTTTCACTTTTCTCAAATATTATATTGACTGACTTGTGCTGAGTTATATGACATCGGGTAAATGGGAAAGTAAGGGAAAGGCAGGGAAGTACAGTTCTTTTCCTTAGTTCTTCTCTCTTATAAATGGGCAGCTCCAAAGCCATGGCCGCCACCTATGGCTGACCAGAACCCTTCCCTCCTGCTGACCTTTCCTGTCACCTTCCTAGAGGGCTCTTTGAATTCTTTTAATCCCAAGGTATGGGGAGCAGGTGGAACAGCTAAAGTAGGCTGGCCTTCTGGGTGGCTGGAATTCCCTGGGTTTTGTGACCTTTATTGTCATGCCCAACAGAGAATTTGTGAAAAATTGAGGCTGGAGAGATGAGGAAGGCTTTACCCAAGCAGTTAATGGAGGGAACAAAGTCTAAGATGTCTATATAGTTGATGGAACGTGAGAAAAAGTTAATCCTAGACAAACTTTCTGGATCAAAGGAAATCCTAGGAGTTTGGATAGGAAAAGGCAGGCATTACATTACAGGTAAAATTACCTTATATTTCAGAGTCAACATAATTCAAATAATATTGAGCTTACACAAAATAGTCATAATTTAACAACCTTCTAAAATGAAAAAAAATCAAGACAGGATTCAGTCATATGTATTTTTCTTAATGTTGTCGTTATCATTGTTTTCCCTTTGTACTTTTTATTACACGTATTTACATACATCCAGTTTGGTTTGGTTTGCTAAAGAACAAAACAATAAACTCAGAAGCAAAGTAAGTTCCATTCCCCCCCCCACACACACACTTTTAGACATCACATCTAGAACTGCAGGGGTCAAAAAGACAGAGTGGATCATATCATTCTCTATCAGAGGAAGCCAGAATTTCTGAATGTTCCTCTTTAAAAAACAAAATTTGCCTTGCTAATTGTAATGAGCGTAGATGGAAATAGACCTTTTATGAAAGCGAGAGACAGAGAGAGATAGAGGGACAGGAAGGAGAAGAAAAAGAAAAGCACTACATATAGGTAGTCATTGCTTAGGGACTGTTTCAAGTTACAATGGACAAAAAAAGGTACTTACCTGGATATGAGGTTCTCAATACCTGCCCCCCATGGACATGTGATTGTATCTGGGGGGCACACTCGGCAACTCATTTACAGCTGTTTGTAGTATCCTGTGGTCACATGACCTCATTTTATGTTTTTTTTGCCAGAAATTGGTATTTACTTCCAATTTCTGGCAAAAAAAAATGTCCCTTCTAATAACGGCTTCACTTAATGACTGTGGCATTTGCTAAATGATCACTACAAAAGAATCATCGGTCCCAGGATGACCTGCTTAGCAACTGGCACCACTTACAACCATTCTGGTGGTGGTGGGGGGAAAGGCCTCCCTACTGAGCAAAGAGGCTCGGTTTAAGCTGCTATTTGAATTCTGGGGCAAGCAATGAATTTACCTTTGTGACTACGACCTTGTCTAGCTTGTTTTGTAGTCTGAGATTCATATCATTAGAAAAGATCCACAACCACAACTGTATAAATAGCACCCTGAGAAAAGGTTAGTCTTAGCTTCCTCTTTGATGTGAGCTTAATTTTTTTTAAACCTGCATTCAACACTTGCAGGTGTAAAATCTGAAGAATCAGGCAATCATGATAGACCAAGAAAGAGAACTGTGCTTGTTCCTTCTACTAAACCCACTATTAAACTGTTAGAAATTACCAATAATTACTTACCCAAGGGGCAATATGTTTCACAGAAATATCAAAAGAATTAGAAAAAAGAACGATAGATACCAATTTACACATCTTTCTTTACCTAGAATCTTACTGATGCTTGAATTGTGCATGTCTGGGAAAGCTTGCAAAATTTTACGTCTTTCATCCTTGGCCCACACCATAAAAGCATTCATGGGGCGCTTTATGTGGTTGTTGTTCCTGGACTCAGGAAAATGCCGTGAGCCTGCCAAGAAAGGACCAAAGAACAGTTCATTAAACTGACCAGATTATGGGAGTTTGTGAATTCTGGAAATTGCAAATGGGGGATCATACATGGTAGATTTGTCACATCTGCTATATACAAAAGTTGATTACCTATCAAATTTAGAGTAGTCATGAGGTTTTGGAACCATTAAAAAACCCTAATTCAGCTATTCAACTAAAGTTTTCATTTATTAAAGGAAGCTTGCTTAGATTTTCTCTTCAAAATTCAACACTGGTGAAATTTGTGAGAAAAAGAAGAAATGTCATTACCATCGCTTTCACATGTTAGTAGAGACTCATCCAGTCTCTGAAGAGATGACTCATCCATCTGTTCTTTTCCAGGTGAAGAATCCAAATTGGTATGATCCTGAAAATACAGGGTTTTCTGCATCTTACCAAGGTAAGCAACATTAAAAGTTACTACACGTAGTCCTTGACTTATAATCATTCATTAATGGCTGTTCAAAATTACAATAGCACGGAAAAAAGCAACTTATGACTGTTTTTCATACTTAACAACCACAGCAGCATCTCCATGGTTGTGTGATCAAAATTCAGATACTTGGCAACTGGCTCATATTTATGACAGCTGCTGTGTCCCGGGATCATGTGAACACTTTTTACAACCTTCTGACAAGCAAAGTCAATGGGGAAACCAGATTCACTTAACAACCAAGTTACTAATTTAACAATTGCAGTGATTCACTTAACAAATGTGGCAAGAAAAGTCGTAAAATGGGGCAAAACTCATTTGTCTCACTTAGCAACAGAAATATTGGGCTAAATTGTCATAAGTTGAAAACTGCTTGTACCAATGGCATGTTTCCAGAAGCAATTAACCCGCCTTAAACCTAGATTTTTAAAATAAATTATTTTGCCATATGTTAAATTATCAAAAGAGAATGGCCTTATATAATCTCCTAAAATAGGACCTGTATAGTCCAAATCTGCTGAACAGGAAACTATAAAAGAAAGACTACAGGTAACATTATCTGAACAAAAGAATCTTGGAAACAAGGTATTTTATAATTTTTTCTGTTTATAGAACAAATAGTTTCAGTAAGAAAAAGGAACAATTCAGCTAACATGCTGAACAGCTTTTGTAAATAATACTTTAAAGACATGAGTCTAAGGAATAAAATGACTTTTGAACAGCTTTATGGACTATTGTAATAGAATAAGTATTTTATGTACTTTAAGTTTAGACTTAACATGTTGGAATATGGAGTTTTCATGTATTAGTTTCTATTTTATTATGTGCTAATCTCAAACCTCTCCAATTTTCACTCTCAGTATATAATTATTGTACTATCACTGAAAACTCTTCCCTTAGTCATTCAATTTATCAGGTAGTGGTAACAGCAAAGGAAAAAGCTTCTCCTACAACTTTCAATGGGCCTTACAGCAGGAACACAGACCTCTGGAAAATAAAGTTAACAATTTCAAAAGACACCTCAGCCCATGATACTGTTGTTTCTATCAGAAATGTTTGAGGAATTAAAACAAACAAACAGAATATAGTCTTGACAGTTCACCAAATAACTTCCAGGGTTGGTTATATTCTACAATGGATCAGGGATGTGGTGAATCAGAATTGGGAAGCTTATAAATTTTATCCATTATTAAATTGTCTGAAATGCTACCCTAATATAAACCATGTCCAATTAGCTCATTTTTTAGAACATTCTGAACTGAATCTTTTGAAGGTTCATTCATTACTATTCATATTACAGACAATGGCTCTCAAAAACCCAAATACCAGGGTTTTTTTTTAAACTGACCGACTACTTTCATTAGACTCTGATATCTTTCATTCTTCAAAATTCTAATCTTTATTCAAGGCTTTGTGTCAAAGAGGATATTCTTTCCTTTTAAGACCAAAATCAATATCACTTACCTTAATGTATGGATGATTTGGAGAACCATCTAGAGCTCTGCTTTGGTTGTGCAGAAGTTGCTGAGCATCTTGTATTGCTTTAGTTATAGCATCTCCCTCTCCAAGGAATCCTGATATTTTTAAAAAAAACAACTGGTGATCAACTGATATCTTCATGATTATCACCAGTGCAAACTATTAACACAAGGAAATAACACTGGGGCTACCACATCCAGGCTGAAAAATCCAGACAACCACTAGATAGGCTACAGGAAATCCCTGAGCTTGCCACCATTTGCTGACATCACCCAGAATTTTATAGCCTGGATACAATAGCTCTGTCCTGCATTTTCCACAAGCATGCCTTAACTACAGCATTTTTTCCCCTTTATATAGCTTCAGGTTAGTTTTCTTTTAGAATCAGTGATTACGTTTTTTTCTCATCAGAAAAAGAAACATTTATGGTGCAATCCTGAGATTCCGAAGAAGATGATACACGGGGTCCTATGTGAACTTCCACTTACATTACTGGCATGTAACATCTGCAAGGAGGTTTTTCCTGAATGTCAGAGGTGATGTAGACTACTGTGGCTACTGGCAGTGGTCCATTGTTAGAAAATAGAAGGACACAGAATTCCAGCCCTGAAACTTTTGTAACTGACTGTACTCCTTCTGGAGACGACATGAGATTGTCAACACAAAAAAGATTTCAATTCTAATTAACAAAAGCCTGGAAGGCTCAAGAATTATGACTTTCTTTCTTCACATGCCCAGAATTGCTGTGATTGTTATCTTGTGCCTTCAGCAATCATGAAACAGCAGAATAGGCATCTCCAACAACAACAACAAATATACTACAATGTCTCTACAATTTCTGCACATTAAACTTCAGACTGGATTTATGCTCCTCTTCAAGACTGCAGTAAACGTAGGTTCTCATTTGGAGTGATTAGAGTATTCTATGTATCTGTTAACTTCATATTAACTCTTGGAGCCTTGAACTTTATAATTTGCATATGTTTCAAAATCTAACACATTGGATATATTGATTTGGATATATGAGGACTCCTGAAACATGGAAGATCCTTGGTTCATCTACATCAAATCTGTCTCTCCTGATTGGTAGAAATTCTCCAAGTTTTCCCAGACATATTTGGAGATGTTGAGGACTGAATATTTTGCATGGGCAGTGCATGCATCTTCCTCTGAATTGCAGTTTCTCTTCCCCCTTCAGTACTGGTAAATCCACAAGATAAAATCCCCAAAGGAATTTTGAGGAAAGCCGTATTCATCCCTTCATGAATCTAGAGATGTCAAGAATTCTTCCCCAAAGAAAAATCAAGAGCATAAGCTAATAAAGCAAAGGTATTTTGTAACAAGTTTGCAATTACAAGTCATTCAAAGAAGCATTTCCCTATCAGCTCTGAATCAGAGGAACAGACCTACCCACTGGAAGGCTGGGAGGGCTGGTCTGCAACTCCCGAGAAACACCACTGAGGGACTGACTGCTACTAATCTTTAAACTAGGTGTGCTGGAGGCATTATGGGATTCAGAGCCTTTAGACTTTGCTGTTAAGTTCAGTGGCTGTGAAGATTCCTGAAAACAAAATAGAGAAGGAGGATAGAAACATTTTTCTACAAGATTTGGAGACCTAAGGAAAAAGGCAATTAAGAGGTTTTACCTGGATTTGTAGGTGGCCTGAGCTTGCAGGTCTCTTCAATGCTGAAGGAGATGGACTATGAATCAGCTGCATAGGATATTCCACTGTAGATTGTAAAGAAAGAGAAGAGGTGGAGATTGTGTACAATGTTAAACTTAAACTGGGGTCCTTCTTATGTCACCATTGAATCAAGAGGGAATCTGCTGTAAGTTCAGTGAAACTCAACCTGGAATTATGTAAAGGGGCGAAATTTCTGCATCTGTCCCCAAATATGTAAAAACATGTCTCCTGTGTACATTGCAGTAATATGTTTGGGGACAACTGTCATCAATGTATTGAAGTAGTGAACTGTTCTTAGTTCTATGGACCCAGACTATTAGAATGAGAGGGACCAAGACCAGATATAACCAAATATAACTCAGCTTTATTATAAATATATTGTATCTTATGGTGAAATACAATAAAAACAATACAATAATATTATATGTCATACGGTGAGAGCTAGTTTGGTGTAGTGGTTTAAGGTATCAGGCCAGAAACTGGGAAGTTGTGAGTTCTAGTCTGCCTTAGACATAAAGCCAGCTGGTTGACCTTGGACTAGTCACTTTCTCTCAACCCTAGGAAGAAAGTAATGATAAACCATTTCTGAAAAACCTTGCCAAGAAACCTTGTCCAAGACTTGTCCAGGCAGTTTTCTGAGAACTGGACACAACTGAACAATGGGCAAAAAGGAAAAACAACAGGACAGTATCAAAATTCATTATTGTACACTATTTCAAGCTACAACAACAAAATAGGAAGTCTTATTTTATACTGATTTTATAGTAATTCTACATAAAATGACATGCACTAACGAAAGGGAAGACCTACTGATTTCTTCAATCTAGATGGAACTCTATTGTTGTATGGTGTAATAACATACAACAAAGCCTGCAACAGATTCTTATACCCAATTGAACCAAGGCAGGATTATCTTGAGTTTCTTTTTCATGACACGTTTCCTCTCAGTATAAAGTTGCTACATACTTAATGGTCTTTGCATTTCTTCTTCAACATTATCTCCATATTACTCTATGCTATCTTTCTACTTTGTCAGAGTTTATATAAAAGGAATACAAAGCACTTGGAAATGTTTGTGTTAACGGGTTACCATAGAGTTATGGATGCCCCTATAGAAGGAGTAGTAGAGAAAAGCACAAGACAATGTTTCTTTTATGCCTGCTACAGGTGGCAATGTATTCTTCAATTTACCCTTGAGAACTGGTGAAATGAGGATGTTAAACCTGCATGGTTGAACATTTGGCAATACTTTAGGAAAGGAAGCTATTTGAAACAATCATGCTGGTTCTGTATTATGTAACCAAACTCCAGCTATTACATTTGCAGACTGTCTACCTTGATTTTCCCTACAAATCCATGTTAATAAATCTCTTAGAAGAGAAGCCCATTTTGCAGTATTTTTCTATCTTTCATTTCCAAGACACATGAAAGGGTCCTATCAATGTTAAACAGAAAGGTTTGTGTAGGAAAAATAATCAGTTTTAATCATTAAAAACAGCATTCTGACTCCATTTTTACTGACTGAAACATTAAGGAATTGATTCAACAAAGTTCATTTGTCTCATGGTTTTCAATGGCTACAATTAATAGAGGATGCCCTCTCTTCCCATTCCAAGTCCACTGTTTAAAAACCTTGGGAAATCTATATCACAATTCCACTTTTCTTGGCCTCTTCATACCTGGCTTACATGGAATTGGCTGGATAGGAAGTGCCATCTGAGACTCTGGAGTGACAGGAAGAGGGTGGTGGTTGGGAGGAAAGGCTGGAATCATGACATAGGGCATGTTGACCTGCTGAAAAGAGTAAGGGGAGTGATGGACACAGAAATAGATATAGGACATATGAAACTGTAACAGTGCTATTTGTCCAAACAGCCATTTTTCATATCCACTAGACTAGAGGCAGTAATAGAGAGATGTATATCACTTTCTTACTTCATATCCATATTGCAGTATCAAATATTAGGTACTTAATGCAAATATCCAGACAACATATTTAAGGAAGTACAAAATTTTTATTATTCATACCACAGTGGAAGAAATACTGAAGTTTCTTATCAACTTGAAAAACATTTTCAGTATGTATTTCTTCGCTAAAAGTGGCAACCAGCCAGAAAGGATGGGTGGGAATATAAACTGAAGGAGGACAGGATTGGCCCTTTATTCCCATACCAAGGCCTCAAGTCCAATCACATTTAGTCTGAATCAAATCCTAATGATTTCACTGGCACATGCTTCACAGTAAGGCACTGTGGATCTCAACCTCTTACATTTTGAAAAGCTGCATTAATGCATCATTATCAAGATAACAATTGCTTCTATGTTAATTTCTATACATCTAAGGATAAATAATCTACATGTAGCACTATTACACTTGTCTTGGCACTTCCAATTTTTAGGTGAATGCCTTCAATTAAGCCACACTTAAGTCCCATTTCCCAAAGAAAATATATAACATTGTACCTGGATCTGCTGCTGCAGCAAGTTGATCTTGTGTTGTTGCTGGATAAGTTGTTGTTGTTGCTTGGCAATCTACAAGTAGGAAAGATGGGGTGGAACCAAGATCCATGCTAACTGAACTACAAACCTTAGGGCCATTTGGGCACAATGCTCATTTCTATAAAATAAAGGGAAGGCCACTATGTGGCAAAACAAGAACAGCTCATGTAAGCAGAACTTGAATGCACGGATGCAAATGATAACAAGTATTGTTTAGAAAAGCAAGACCCCGGGTACTAAAAACTTCAGGTGAAGTTTCCCGTTCAGATTTCTCATCTCTTTTCTCCATCATTATTACACAGAATTCCAGTGATGAAATTACCTTACTGAATAGCTTTAAGAAGATGAATAAGCACATATTTGACTTATTAGCGCACAGCATACAAGTTATTGGAGTGAGGTGAAGTAAAACATGTGAAGATTATAATTACATCACAGTTAGGCTTAAAAATACCAGCAGTGAATAACTTTAAAGGAAGTTTGATGTCTCAGGCAACATATTAACCTCCTCCTAAAGCTTAGGCTTGTGGATTTATTTAAAATTAAACCTTGTTTTCATCTGTTAAGAGAAGTTGTAACTGGAGCAACAGCCCTATCCATTCACATCACCATCATTTCGTCACAATAAGACAGTTTAATTTACTATACATCCCTGCAGTTTTCACTCTAAATATGTGTATTTGGAATTTTATAATATCCTATTTATGTAGACTCTACACCCTGTTGTTTATTACCATATTACAATACACATAGTTGGTAATTTTTATGTCTTTATCTTTTGCAGTCAGAGGCTATGCTTTATTTAATGGGGGGGGGGGGAAGTGGCCTTCAAGAGCTGCAGAGAAGGTGGGACATTAGCTTTCAGCCCTTGATTTTTTGGAGTTGTGGGTGGGAAATTGAGTAAAGTGGAAATATTAAACTAGAAAAGATTCCTGTTTTATATTGTGAAAAAAATCATACCATAAAATTATGATTTGTTGCTAAAAATGAACAATATTATCTGAGAAGATTTTAAGGCCCGCAGAAATGGCCACGGACTAACCATCCCTGAAATAAATATTTGTTCTCTTTCTAAACTGTTTGCCTTTTCAGGCTGATTTGAGTTAGATAAAGACCTATTAACTCATTTAGCTCTATAAATCCTATATCATTTGAAGTTCAAGTGCCAATCAGGAAACCTTCTAAAGACAAAAATCTTAAAGGCTAAGAAGGATAAATATAGCTACAAAGTAGTGCTTTACTACCTACCTGTTCTTGCTGTTGCCTGGCCAACTCCATCTGTTGTTGCTGCTTCTCAAACAGCATAGCTGCCATGTTCTTTTGCTCTGAATGGGCTGTCAGCAGCTGGTCCCTCAGGATGGACAGCTGGTTAATCATGACCAGCAGCTGTAATTCTTTCTCTGCCAAGCTTTCTTGGGTTCCTGGAGCAAGCAAAAGAAGTAGATAAGAGATTAACAAGAAGGGAGGGAAATAGTGAAATTTCATTCTGAAACATTAAGGTTGTCCTCTTAGAGGGTATCCTGCAATTATCAAAAAATCTAGGGAATTTCCTTGGTAGAACAAAGGAAAACAGGGGAGACCTATTTCGCAAGCTATAGGTCTGACATAAAAAGTCATGCAACATGCACTTTACATTTGGAAACCCAGATCCTGGCGAGCATAAAGAAAGAGGTGCTTTTGTAGATATGAGATGTTGCAGTTCTACAGTATCCAAAGCAGTTTATTTTTTATTTTTTATTGACAGATAATTGTACTCAAAGATCCACAGAATTGTACATGAATTTGTTAAAAAATTAATTTCTCACATGATTGGAACCAATGTGGTTATATCAGTAGTTCAGCCTTTCTCATCATGGTGCCTGGAAGATACATTGGAATACAACTCCTACATTCTAACTAGCATGATGGATCAGAATGTGGGGATATGCCTGGACAGTACAAAGTTGGGAAAGGCTGTATTGTCTCATAGTGGGAAACCACTTTTTATATTGAATTATTTTTTAATCTTTAAAATAAGGCAAAATACTGTGAATTCTGATGGTATGAATTTTAAAATGTATTGGCTTTGAATTTAGCTTAAATGAAGTAGAATAGAGGGGCTTTCAATTCTAATTGGGTTAGTTTTCTCTGTTCTGGGCATTAATACAATTCAGCTAAACCCCTTGCTCACCTTTTACTTCTTTGGATTCCATAGGACTTTTCCCCAGAAGTCTCTCTTTCCATTCACTGGACAATAACTTCTCAATGGTCGGCATCACTGTTGCAAGAAAATACGACAGGTTTGCAATTGAGAAATATAACTGTTTACTTAGTATCATAACGCATAATAATAGAAATGAAGACTAAGTTGGCTGGTGGTGGATAATATTACAAGGACAGACCAAGATAATCAAAGAAATTGGTGACTTTAATTAAGCATCTGATTAACATAATTAAGCATCTGAATGCAAAAACTAAGACGGAACATACATCCCCCTGACTCTTGTAAATCTAATGTTATTTAATTTTTCAATGTAGCTATTTTCATAAACAGCAACCAAGAATCCACTCCAAGAGGGAAAAATTATAAAGGAGCTGCATTTCTCTATGGCAAGCTAATTGTCTGCCTAAAATGTAACACTATCCATCCTATTTATACAATGTTGCTTAATTTTGCAACTGGAGGATTTTAACTGATGATATCATGGGCCAGTGTTGCAATAGTTAATTTTAAAATGTCATTGCCCATGGTGAAGTCCTTATAGCCCACAGGTCGGCAACCTGCGGCTCCGGAGCCTCATGCGACTCTTTGAGCCTTCCCCTGCGGCTCCCAGCCTCCTCTGCCTTTGCAGAGAGAGACAGAGACAGAGAGAGGAATTGCGCTTCCCTGCTTCTCTCTCTCTCTCTTTCTGTGTGTGTTTTGTGTGTGTGTTGTGTGTGTGTGTGTGTGTGTGTGTGTGTGTGTGTGTGTGTGTGTGTGTAAAAAAGAGAGTGCACTCACAGTGTTCTCCGAGGAGCTGAAAAGCTTACTGGGCGGAGCTCCTCCCTTTGCTGCGTCTCTGCAGGAAGCAGGAAGGGTAGGAGAGAGCTAGCTAGCCCAGTTAGGCTGACTCAGGAATTCTGGGAGTTGAAGTCCATGAGTCATAAAAGAGACGAGGTTGCCTACCCCTGATCTTGTTGGACAACAGCCTGAAGCTTGTCAGGTGAGCAGCAGATAGGAGAGGGGGGGGGGAGAAAGAGAGAGAGAGAGAAAGAGAGAGAGAGAGAAAGAAAGAAAGGGAGCGGGGGAAGAGGAGTGGCAGACCAAGGGCAGATAGAGAGGGAGAGAGAGAGAGAGACCCTTTTGACATCTAAAATGAAGATAACACTGCATATATCCTTTTTTTACCTGTGTGTGTGTGTGTGTATGTATATATATACATACATACATATACATATATATATATATATACACACACACACACATACATACACACACACAAACACACACACACCTATAATAAAGGTAAAAAAGGATATATGCAGTGTTATCTTCATTTTAGATATCAAAATGGTTTTGCGGCTCCCAGTGTTTTGTTTTTGGTGGGAAACGGGTCCAAGTGGCTCCTAAGTGTTTTGGGTTGCCTACCCCTGTTATAGCCTCACCTACAAAAGAAAACTCCAAAATGCAAAGAACTGTGCTGACCCAAAAGTGTATATATGTCTATATTAGGGTAAAGCAAAAAACTCCTTTTAAATTTACAGCTGACAGAATAAAGAGCTGGCAAAAGACAATGAGGAAGTGCTGAAGAAATTTGGATTCCCATCCTGAGTCATTCGCACAAAACATATAGTGGTGGGATGAGGTGAAGTGGGGAAAGAAGACTGCTTGAGAAAGTGGAACATGAGCTGTGTCCAGTTTTAATAGTTTTCTTCAGCACCAGACCTTTTGAATCATAGTAGGAATTAATTGACTATTCAAGATCCAGCCACCCCCAACATACTTTGCATTATAACAGGAATTGCTCACAACAATATATTCTTCTTGGGAATGTCCCCCTCCCCCCCCCATTATAAGGATTGCAGCAAAATTCACAGAGGGACTAGGGAAGCCCATGATTGTTGCCAGATGATGTCATTGCCTTTATAAATAAAAAAGACATTTCATTCTCACCCCTCCCACCAGCCCAGCTCCACAACACTGCCGGAGCCTGAATATCACGAGTTCCATGATCTCAAAGCAAGTACTCTACTACACAATTATGCCTCTTCCCAGCAACTAAAAGAAGAAAAGCCCCAAAGAAAGCCATCTGTAAATGGATGTGTGTGCATCTTGGTCTGCATGTGTGTGGGAGAAATATCAGGTTTGTAGAATGTCCTTCCTACCTTCTCTTAGATTTTTATTGAAATCCAATTTTTCCTGGTTGCCAACTGCAGGCTCCAGCACAGGGTTCCTGGAATCTGATGCCTTGTCCACTGGAGGTTCAGATTCCTGAAAGATAGTGAGCCACTGTCAATCACCAGCACCCTGCAGGAAATTAAAAAGGGAAGGATAACAGATATGCTTATCTTCACAGTCTTACTTTCAAGCAGGGTTTGTCCAAACAACCTCTGGAGCTGCAGACCTGACTGATGATTTAGAGAGCTGATTTAACAGATGAGGAAATCTCTGAGGTTTCCCTCTTTCTCTCTCCCTTCACCCTTTCTCCCCCACAGTGTTTCACTTCCCAAGTTAAAAGTGACTGGGTCCCTTGTAAGTGGCAAGGTATGCTTCATGTACACATGCCTGAAAGAATGTGGCCCACCTGTGGGAGAATTAGGGGATCAACAAAGTCACCCGGTGGCAAGGGTGATTTACTGGGACTGTTGGAGCCAGGTGATGTGCAAGGAGCCTCGTCCTGGGTCAACTTGTAGTGGCTTTCGTTCTTCTCTTCTGTTTTAACAGTGCAGTTCACCATATTCCCAGCTCCATTAAGCTCCAGCTGAGGAGAGACAAGGCTCCTCATGGACATCCTGGATGACAAGGAAAACAAAATATAAAAGATTATGAAAATGAGCAGGAAAAGAAGGGCCACGAACTCCACTCACATTAGAGAAAGACCAGTGTTCCAAATGAAACCAAGCATAACAAGGTTTCTGGAAAACTCAGAAATAATCAGATGGCTATTACTTCCATTGACACATGCCATTCATCTTCAGAATAGGACTCCAATTTGCATTGAGCACGAATATGCTAAACTATAGATTTCTTTACTAATTAAATCTATCTTCTGCCTTACCTCTATCATTCCTCTAACTTATCTCCAAAGCACAAGAAATTTGTAATTTGGAATTAGAAAGGACTAGCCCAGGATCATCCAATGAGCTTTCATGGCTGAGGGTGCATTTAAATCTGGGTTTCTCCAGTTCTAGTCCAATGTATTTACCAATACCCAAAGCAAGCTTTTACACCACACTTGCTACACATGTTGAAATTAGAATTAGAATTTTAAAGAATATAAAAGAGCCTTTCATTATTGGGAAGTTTATAACAAAATAGCCTGTGTTCTTATATAGGATACTATCCAGACATTTAACTTTTGGGTTCATTTAGAGAGCCTCAAATATGTGGTTTCCCATTTATACTTCAACCAGGTTCTGCTTTGTTCTGGAGAAAGACTTCTGCTTTATGAAAAACCACATCTTCATAACAGCCATCTTATGATTAGTCCAACTTCTTATGATAGCCATTTGGAAGAAGAGCTCATGACAATTTCTAAATGTTTTTTCTGAATACAAAAATATTGGAGAATCCTGCCTTAGAAGATTACATTGACTGATTTACCAAAAACAAAGTCAGAATTTGATGAGTCAATTATTAAATCAGGTCCAAAGTTAAATACCCCATACATATTTTATGCTGAGCAACAGACATGCAATATTTTTCCTGCACAAAGGCAAGATAATCTTGCTCTGTACCTCTCAGAAGCAAAGCACTATTGTGCAGCCACACAATAATTTTCCAGTTCTAGAAAGACAAAATACCAGAAGCACAAAGGTTTAGGGGCAAAAGCAGCCATCATAACTGGCCAAGTGCCACCATCATTGCCACTTGGAGTTCTGGAAAAGCACAGGGCAGTAATTACATAACAAACAAAGCCTGTCTCAAGCTGTGAATTAATCAAACTGCTGAAAATAAAACCTTCCTCTCAGGAACTTCAGACAAAAGAAATGAAAACAACAGGGCTGGCTGGGTAATGAAAAGCCAGCACACTGAATGGGGGACAAAAGGAAGTTGAACAATAGGGTGTTGGACAAAAGCAATAAAGTAAAGGGAAGTGTGACAGCTGAACAATGAGGCACTGTGCACGCCAGAGTTTCTGATCTTAGCAGGCTTTTTTATCTCAGCTCCCTGCCCTTCTATGAACAAATCATTGTGCTTTTCAGGCTATTGGGTTTCCTTTACCATTTGCTTTTTGGCTCCTGCCGCCATTCCGGTTAGAAACCTATGCTTTTCCATTTTCAGTCCTGTATGCCCCTATCCATGCTGCAGTCCACCATAGACCAAACAGATTCATCTTATGAAGACAAAAGGCATCCATGTGTTAGGGAGGCACACTGATAAGTGACAGTAACTCACACACACACACCACCCCCAACATACATCCAATAAGACATGCCAGCTGATTACTATAGCCTTTAGCTCTCCCTTGCTCTCTTTCTCTGGATAATAACAATATAGGTCTTTTTGCCTGTAGCATAATACTGTCAAAGGAGAGAATCTTGGTCTCTGTTTTATCTTGTGCTCAGAAGACCTGGCTAAGAGGATCCAAACATGCTTCAACCAGAGGTTTTTTGTTTATTTGTTGTTTTAACTGATAGGTATTCTGAAGGTTCAGACAGCACATCCAAATTCAAGCAGCCAAATAATACAAGGAATTTTTATATGGCTTCTATGCTGATTCCACAACTAAATAATACTGAATATGTAGTTACAGTATTTTTTGTGAAGCATTTTGTTTGTTTTTATCTATGTCCATATGCACACTTCCCATATATAAATCTTCGCATACAATGGAGTTTACTTCAAGTTACGCAGGGACTGAACCTGTACATGCATAATAGGACATAAATATAAAAAGAAAAAATGATTAGAGAAGCTTAAAGAACAAAAGCAATGTAGTCTGTTTATGGTCATGGTAGAAACAAGGATGTTGTGCAAGAACAGAAAGGTATGGGAAGATGTCACATGCACCTTTCTTTATTATAAAGGAGTAGATGCAACACATCCATCTGAAGAACCACTAGCAATGGAGGAATCAGCCATCTAGGCAATCCCATTGATGGATAACACTGGAGGAGAGATTAAGTATTCATGTTCCTAATCACTGCAGTAGAACTAATAAGAAATTTTGTGACAAAATATATTCTTTATATACTCAGCAAATCTGTTGTTGCCTTAAGTTAGCTATTAAAAAAAACTTGAGAAAAGTATCTCAAGTCCTTGCCATAGGATTTACTGCAGTATGGGCTTTTTTTCCCCTTTCCAGCACACAATGTTTTGAAGTGAAATATCAATAAAAGTGAAGTATACAAAGAATGATTACTCACAGAAACATGTTACTTAAGAAATATAACATTTACAAGTTTATAAATCTAAGCAGGAGCACCTGTTAACTACAAGGTAAGTCCAAAAGGAAAAGGAATCAAGTTTATGTGCATATAGCACATATGTTTCTAGTACAATATGCATAGTATCATGGAAGTTATATTGTAATCCAATATATCCGGAAAGTGACAAATTGAGAAAAGTTGAAGCAAAGAGCATTATCATCTTTTCTTGGCCTTATGTGTATGGCAAAGTATATGCTTTGTCATGCATGGAATTTTAGTTGGATCCCAATTTTTTTTTCATTACAATAAAAAGAACAATTTTAAATTGCATTTACAGGTAGACTAGTAAGTCAAATGCCTGGCTAAATATATCTCAATAAATATATTAATATGCATTGCTTAATATATTTTGTAATATATTTTAATAAATTTAATAAATATATTAAATTTAATATATTTAATAAATAAATTAAGCAAAATATAATAAAAATACAGAAAATGGATTACCAAGAAAGGAGGATATAACTGATACAAGTTTACAAAAGTTAAACTCTTTCATCATATCCGGAGATATTTAAACAGATAGGGCAAAATTCAACTCAGAGACACTGAGAAAAAGGAGCTATAGTCAGATATAATTGCAGGATTTGACTGAAATGATAGAAACATATTGGTAAAGACTTGTGCACCTATATATTATTCCTGTTAGGCAATAACAGCTGACCCCTGCCCTCTTTTTTTAAAGGTTGCTTTATGTTTAATCTTGATTTGGTTTAAATAAAGGATCCCTTTGAATAGAGCTCCTACCTCCAGCCCATTACCAGAGATTTCAATTATTCTGTATGTCAAGGCAAGGGTCTGTTAACAAGGGGTCCTAGCTACATTTGCAAGCATCCTGTATTCCTTGCTTTGACACCTCAGTGTTGCACGCAATGGGAACAAAAATGAGCTTCAGGAGATGCACCTTTCTCTTTCCAGATGCAAGAAATGTTGGCAGGGCAGACTGCTCCACACTGCAGTAAATTGTACATGCAGCGCCTCAGGCCACTTTTTTCAAGTTATCATACCATTCGTCTTACAGAACAGCTCAAACGGTTTGCAGAAGGTCAGCATGAGAGAAATGTAAAAAGGATCTTCAGGGCTCCCTGTCCTGCAAAGATACAATGAGTAGAGATGAAAATGAATTGAACATAAAGAAGCTTGTGCTTTCGTCCCAGTCCTTATTACTTCAGAAACCCTGTTGAATGCATAACCCCATTATGCCAAGGGGGAAAGAAAGCCATATTCTTGTTTGCAGGTCTTGCTTGCTCGCTCACTGGTATGTAGCCATGTAAGGGGACTGCATTGTCATCCAAACAATGGAGGAATCAAGAACAATCAGCTGGTGGTGAGCTGAAAATGTATTCATTTTAAAAGAGCACACAAAAGGAAAGTTTCAATCCTCCAGTAGGTCAGATTTCTATTGTACTTAACATTTGTACCACTGGAAGTTTACTCTTAAAATGGGCTTGCTGCTTTAATAGGTGTGTGTTTGAAAGGAGACTCATTGTATTTTTATTACATGGTTTGCTGAACAAAAATACAGCCAGTTATACTTGTTACAAGGCTTGTTCCAGCAATAGGTCCATTCCCTATTCTAATAGTATCAGGTAGTTATCACAAAAGCCACGGGTGGGGGAAGAATTGCTCAGAACAGCAAACAATGGGAATGGGGACAATTGGCCTGGCACATGGAAAATGTCTTCCTGTAATAGGCCTTTCTTTAATGTTTCTTTTTCTTGCACTGAATGGGGGGGGGGATGGAAGCAGAGCTCAAATCTTCTAATGTACCAGACAAAGGGAAAGGATGTAGCTAAAGCTGAGACTTTTCTTAACAAGATTAAAACAGAATTTGACACTTGTGTGGATAACGAAACAAGCCAAGCAGTAAAGTACTCAACACAACAGTTTTTTTTATGTTATTAAATAGTTGACATTTGTTTAGCTTTGATATGTAAAAGATTTATATGATAATCAATCTCTTTTCATCTTGACAAAAATGCTATATTATTGAAATAATTTTTACTTCACAAATTGGATGCTGAGAGTTAAACAGTAAATTCATGGGTACATCATACGAAGCCCTAAAACACAATTTAAAAATCACACAACATGCTTAGCCAAAACTAATATACATTATAGTTCAATGTAAAATGTGAACCTAGCTAATTACTTTCTAGACAGAACACATGAAGCTGCTTGCACTAAGTCGGACTACTGGTCCATGTTGATCTAGCTATGTTTTGTTTTATTCCTTTTTTAAAAAAAATACTTTTTTACCTTAACCGCAACAATTTTCACATCAATGCTTCCAGAAGAGGACCCTATCAGTTCTGCGCAAGAACCTTAAAATAGGGATGTAAAGATCCAAAACTTGCACAAATTTTTACAAATTATGTGTGAGGAATCTCAGAGATAGGTGACTTCTACTATTCCACCCTCAATTAAACCAAGATTTAATTCCAAGTAACCTACCTCCAACTCTATTAAATAATGCCTAATTTATAAGGAAAAATAAACTGTTTCCAATAACAATAATCACCACAAATTATTTATTATTTTGACTTTTCAGGGAAACAATCCTGCCAAAGTAGTTTACTAGCAGCATGAACTTTTGTAAAATAAATAAATAAAATGTCTAGATTCCTTCCCATGCATTAGTTGGTATTAATGGCCCTACAGGGGTTGGACTGAGAGAGGGAGAAAAAGTCCAGCTGTGAGAGGCTGCTTTTTTATCTTTTTTTTTCTTCTTTTTATACTTGCCAAATAACTCTTGAGTGAGTGTGAGATCTTTATGAAGAAGAATTATATTTCAGCAGTACAGTCATATCTATATGTTAAAGTCATTTTAACATATATTTTAATTTTATATCAATTAAGGCCACATTCAATGTGGTTCATTTTGCTTGCATTTTGGCACTGAAAACTTCAAATTATCAAAGACCTAATCACTCTGATGTGGCAGTGACAGAATGCAATTGAATACTATTACTGATACATTATAAACAGTCTTGGGCTAACTCTGATTCTAATGATGTACTTAATTCTAAGAAATACAACATCGGTTGATTGTTTAGTTGGGGTTCTGAGTTGAACTAGAATGGCAGACATTTTGCTGCTGCTTGGCAACAACCCTACACAAAAGAAATCCACCTATGTTTCACTGAAAGAGTATAGTAATAACTGCAACAGCCTCACAACTTAATACCTAGCATTATTTCTTAAAGTGGAATTTTTCATCTCAAAGAAGCTTGCCCTCGGAGGCAAATTTGCATATCTAGTCAGAATAATCACTGAAGGCCGAGTCAGATTATTTATTAACCCAAAACTGAAATCTCTGAATGGTGCCAGACTCTCTCAATAGTGGCTTTGCAACTTTTCTACTTCTCCACTGTTATTTCTTTGTGGCATACATCCTGCTATTCTCACTCTTGCATTGCCACCCTTCCTGGCCAAAGCCTGACTATCTCTTCTATTTATTGTGCAAGGGTGGTTCCAGTGCCAGCAGCAAAAATATCCACCCTAGAACTGGCACCATGTGAAAATCTCAAGATCTGAAATCAGGAAATAACATCTTCTGTGATAAGGTGAAACTTCCAACTAGCTGTACATGAGCTCTAAACAAAATAAGATGATTTGGCATGAAAATATTCTGTTCCCATTTGTATGAAGTCTCTCACTGATATAAATGGACAATGAGAGCCAAGAAAACAAAAACTGCTGAATTTAACTGTGGTATGTAGATAGTAGATTCAGGTACTGTCAGTTTTGTTATTTGAGAAAATATTTATTTCTAACTTACAAATAAAAATTAATTAGTTTGATTCATCCATGCAAACTCATAAATGATGAGGAACTGTTAAACCACACATACTCATATATAGAAGAAATGAAAATGATTTACTTAGAGGAGCAACCAAATTCAAAATATTACAAGTTTTTGTAAAAAAACATACAAGAAATCAAGAGCAAGAGGAAGCAATCATTCAAATAGAATAGAATAGAATAGAATAGAATAGAATAGAATGAGTTGGAAGGGACCTTGTAGATCATTTAGTCCAACCCCCTGCCTAAGCAGAAGACCCTGCAACATTTCTGACAGATGGCAGTCCAATCTCTCCTTGAAAGCTTCCAGTGATGAAGCTCCTACAACTTCTGAAGGCAAACTGTTCCATTGGCTAATTGTTCTCACTATTAGAAAATTTCTCCTTATTTCTAGGTTGAATCTCTCCTTGATCAGTTTCCAACAGTTATTCCTTGTCTGGCCTTCAGGTGCTTTGGAAAACAGGTTGATCCCCTTCTCTCTGTGACAGTCCCTCAAACAGGTTGCAGTAGACAAAAGGCTTAATTAGTATATCTACCCCAGAAAATGGATTAGCATACTAATTCTAACTATCTTAAGACAGAAAAATAATAAAATAAAAGAATATAATATTTACCAAATTTCAAGTAAAAGGTGATGTTTCAAAAAAAAAAATGAGATGGAATAGCTATGCAGTTAGATGCTGATAAAAAAAAGAGTGTGGTGGGGTTAAAAGAAGAGAAACAGAGAAAGCCAGCAAAAAAAAAAATCATAATTACTTGAAAAAGAAGATCTACAAAGGACTTAATTTTTAGGTTGCTAATAGTGAGTTAAAGCCATATACCCTTGTAGGCTCTTGTCTAAAATTTTGATTTTATAACCCAAATTTATTAAAGCATAAAGTGAGATAAAATAACAACAAATCTTGTTCATCAATTGAATTATTGTAGACCAAAAATCATATACTCCAGATAGGAAAACCAACAAAAGCTTAAGCTGTAACCAATGAACTACAAATTGGATAAAAACTTTTTTTTTTAAAGCCAACAATCAAATGCACCATTGAATCTTGACAAACTCTGGACAAGGCCTGTGTCAGTCCCACCAGTTCTTTGCTATTCCTTCCATTACCATTGTAGTATACCATCTTAAACCAATACCCTTTTGAATCAATCAGATATTACTTTAAGGGATAAAACCCTTGAGTTTACTAAAATACCATAGCCTGTATTTTGTCCAGGTCCAAAATCAATGTCCTTACTTCACTCTAATGCCTGCTATTGAACTCAGTGTTTTATCAAGGAATAAATATTTTTAATGTAACAGAATGATCGATCTGGACAGTAAATTAAAAAATGGCCCAAGAAATAGCTTATAGTCACAAGGAATCAAGAAAGACTTTACCTATGTTGATCAAGACAGTGTCTAAAGAAGATAATCAGAGAAAGAAGATCAGCTAAGAAAAGATAAAATAGTAGTTTTAAACATTTACAGCAATGGTTTGGTTGATACAGGCAATAATGACTTGTCTATAGCCAAATGCTACTTGGTGGTCTATTAAGAGGATGGTTACCACTGGGTCATTTTTTTCCTGCTAGGCTATGGATTGGCAGTTCAAAGATTTCCTTCATAAGTTTACTAGAAAGTTGATGATTGGTAACTGCATGTGTAATGCCAGTTTACTTTGTACTATCAGGAAATGTCCTTCAGTTTAATTGGTTGGCAAATATATATATATATATATATATATAATATATATATATATATATATATAGTATATATATATATATATATATATGATTAAAAAGGTTAAAAATGTGAACCCTAGGGATATTCATAATAAAATATAAAAATGAACACTAGGGTAATAAAAACTAAGGAAGTTTTTAATAGGTTAAAACTATAAAAGTTTTAAAAAGCGCCAAGCTTTCGCCGTCACCTGCCGGCATCCTCAGGGCTGGCGTGCCAGAGAATGAGAAAGTCTTTTTATAGGCGTGCCGAGGTTTGCGCTCGGCTCCTTGATCTTGTTATGGGGCCTGATTGGTTCAGCCGTATGTAGTTGGCCTGCACTTTTTTTCTCTTCTTAGTTGTATTTTTATCATACGCGAGCGCTTCCAACAAGGTAAAAAAGGGGAGAACTGAGGAAGAACACTGTAACCAGGAGGGACGCGCCTCGATGGCTGTGCACACACCCCCAGGATTGAGCACTCGGAGTAAGACACGTGCGAGACAGCTGGGCATGACAACGAACAAGAGACGACCCCTCCACCATGCGGAATACCCCCCCACGCTACACCAGACTCGTAACAATTTACGGGATTACCAGGATGATAAACATATTAAAACCGAAAGCATTGAGACCAGAAATATATGGGACCCTAAAGGTAGCAACCGGACAGAACGGGGTGGAGAAAGGAACTTGGAACGTCCACCACCACCCAAGCCTGAGGGGAGATCGGAACATGAAAGCAACCGAAATAACTGGAATTGCCATCCAGCTAATCTGAGGTTGGGAGAACTGGAGACGGACGGGGATAAAAATACAACTAAGAAGAGAAAAAAAGTGCATGCCAACTACATACGGCTGAACCAATCAGGCCCCATAACAAGATCAAGGAGCCGAGCGCAAACCTCGGCACGCCTATAAAAAGACTTTCTCATTCTCTGGCACGCCAGCCCTGAGGATGCCGGCAGGTGACGGCGAAAGCTTGGCGTTTTTTAAAACTTTTATAGTTTTAACCTATTAAAAACTTATTTAGTTTTTAGCTACCCTAGTGACTTCGTCACGTTTTATATTTTACCCGCGAAAATCAGAAAACAAATATATATATATATATATATATATATATATATATATATATATATATATATATATATATATATATCTGTCTTTAACTTAATTAGCAGTTTAATATCTTTTTGTTTCTGAGGCTCCTTCAAGTTTATTCCAGCTGAATTGTTTTGTTAGGAACAAACACTGTACCTGAACTGCAAAAATCTAGATGGCCACATAACGACAGCATAGATGTGGGATTTTCTGTTATCTCTACGCTGCCATCTAGATTTTGGATTTTATTGCTCAAATCTTATATTCTTATGCTTTTTCTAGAACAAAATGAATTCTGGACCAAACCTTTTGGACAATCTCAAGGTATCACAGTACACTCATAGAGAGAATAAGCCTATAACGCAGTGATGGCGAACCTTTTAAAGACTGAATGCCCCAAAACTGCCTCGCCCCTGGCCCCCGCCCCACCTGCTCCACTCCGCCCCCCCCACCTGACCCTGCTCCACCCCTGCTCAGCCCTGCCACATCCACCCGCAGGGCCACTCACTGCCTCCATGGCTGCTGCAGATCTCCCAGGCATGGCCCGCCCTCCACCCATGCCCCGCAGCGTTATCTGGGGCATGAGGGCAGGCTCTTGTTCCTGCTGCCCTGCTGCTATGTGCTTGGCTGTGCTGCTCCGCAAGGGCCATGCCCAGGGGCGACTCTCCTCCAGGGGGCTGCTGGTGAGGAGGGGGGGTGCGGGGAGAGGTGGGGCTGGGGTGACGGCATGTGTGCCCACAGAGAGGGGTCTGAGTGCCACCTCTGGCACATGTGCCATAGGTTCGCCACCACTGCTATAACGTAACAATAAGAAGACTACAAGGCTCTTTCACTTCAGTCTCAGCTATGTACCTGCAACCTCTCACCGCAGTCAAGCATAGAAAATTTACTTCATTTAGGAGGCTGATTCCTCAAGAAGGATGAACTGAACCAGTATGTGTGTTTGTATATGCACAATACACTATTCACTATAGTCTATCCATTATAAATTATCATATCTTTATAATATATATATATAAAATAATATATATATATATACATACATACATGCACACACACACTTCATACTTAGTTACATCAAACTGCAGTCATTTGTTTAAAATGTATTTTTAAAAACATTGTTTTAAAGTAATTGTTAATATCCAATGCAGTTTGGCTTCCAAAATGTAAGAAAGCAATAGCATTTATCATCTCCTTAATGCACAATTCTAATTTATTTGTATCCTGCCTTTATTTATAACAGTCATGGTGGCTCAGAGGTTAGAATGCAGTATAGCAGGTTAATTCTGCTGACTGCCAGCAGTTCAATTCTCACCGGCTCAAGGTTGACTCAGCCTTCTATCTTTCCGTTATCTATAAAATGAGGAGCCAGATTATTGGGGGCAATATGATGACTCTGTAAACTGCTTAGAGAGGGCTTTAAAACACTGTGAAGCGGTATATAAATCTAAGTGCCATTGCTATAATTTTTACAAGTAACTCAAGGCTGCAAACATATCCAACTCGTCTTCCTCATCCTATTTTCCCCACAATAACCCTGAGGTGAGAGTTGGTCTGAGACAGAATGACTGGCGCAAAGTCATAGCTAAGGCGGCATTTGAACTCATGGTCTCCTGTTTTCTAGCCTGGTACCTTAACCATTAGACCAAATTGCTAAAGTGTGCTGGATTTATTTAGTCAAAAGCCTGAGAGTGTGGTTGTAAAGTGATACATCAGGTGAAATACCTTTGGTGCATCTATCAATATAACATGGATATCCTGTGAGCCAAATTCCAAGAGAACCTGGAACAAAGAGGAACTATTAGTAATAGTTCTGTAGAAATGCCCTATATTCAAAACAGGAAAAACTGAAAGTCAATAAGCTGTTAACACATTAAGGTAACAAATGTGTGTACATTTACAGTATTCAATCCTGAGTCTCAGAAACCTAAAGTTCAAATATGGATGCAAAACTTGTGACTTGTTAAAGGAGCATATTTTATCAATTATTTTAGTAGTTTCCAGCATTTCTGAGCCCACAATCGCTTGGGTTTATCTTTAATACTCTACATATCTTTAGATCCAGGTACCTAAAAAAATACCATCAAAGCACACCAGCAAAGTTTAGATTCTGGCTTTACTAGCATTATCTAGAATAGATTAATGTTTCATAAAATGTGATCCTATCTCCAAGACCCTCTCAGGGATCCCAAAAAAAAATCAAAAATATTTGCCAATTATTAAAGATATTAGCAAAAATGTAAAACAATGTCAACCTTCATTTTTATTCATTAAAAATATTGGTTTTTTAATGAAAATATTGGTTAGTATCTAACGGGTTTAATGTTATTTTTACATAATTCAGTATTTTGCAAATGCATCAATTTGAATTTTTAATATGGTAAATATCAATAAATATAATTCATACAAACATGTTTTTTAAAAGATGGAAGGGGCCCTGAGAGCAAATGTTTTTTTTAAAAAAAAAACACTGATCTAGATACATATTTTTCTTACAGATGAAACAGTGTGTTTTTCACACTATGTTTTTTTAAATATCTTGAGTGACCAAGTGACCTGGAGATCTTAAAATACTGTATATTTTAGTAGTAGCATCTGAATTTTCTCAACAATGATATTGCTCTAATAAGGATGTTTTTAATGTTCTTCTTCTGTTGTTTTGTTGCTGCATTATAGAAACACAACAAATATAGAAAGCTTGAATGACCTATACAAGAAAACAAGGCTGCTATGAAAAAGCATGTCACCACTTGATTATCCAAAATGAGATGTCTGCAGCTGAATGTGTAAATTAAATCAACTGTAAAGCATTGTAAGGTGATATGAAAGGTCTCTGCAGTGTTTGATCTAAGTTGCCTCATTCACACATGCAAATAATTGTCAATCATCATATGATTAACATACATGTATGAACTGGTTATGGCAACTCCAAAAAAAGGACAGAAACCAGATTTTAAACATTGTGTTTTTCTGATATCTAGATATCATTCACAAAGCAGTGAAATAAGAAAATTTAATTAAATATTAAATTTTTTTTAAAAATTCTTAACTTCTCTGTAAAGTTTTCTTGATAACAAGATGGAAGAGGTTTTCCACCACCTTCTCCCATGGTGCTTCTCAGTCCAGCCTATTGTCCAATTAGTGATCTTCACATCCAAGTAACAACCTGGTCCAAACCTCCATAGTTTTGTTTTGTTTCTTAAATTAGCTCCTAAAGATAGCTCAAATATGCATAAAATTAAACCAAATTTAATTTTAGTGCTGGACTTACTTATTCCTTAGACTGCACCCCTTAACGTGTCACTGAAATGTCAACTGTCTTTAACATAATAAAAAAGCAATGTATGTCCCTGCTGTAAATGATACTCAGCATTTTAGGACTTTTTGTATATTCAATCTACATTGGACAATTTAGCTTCAATTCTGTCAACACTTACCACATATTACAGTTATAGAAAATTCTGAGTTCTACAGGCCAATACAAATAAATCTAAATTCTGGGGATCATTCTCCATAAAAATATGTCGCTATTCAATTATGCTATTTTTTTAAGAACCTTATCATTTCTTTATACTAGCCAGAAAAATGAAGTAACTTTGACATGGCTATTCATCATGATTAACCAATGATTGATAGCTGAAAGTAGGATAGAGATTTATTATCTTACTAGTCTGCATCTCATCCAAAAATAACCAAGTTGACTAAAAGAGGTTAGTCAAATAACTTTAAATACTTGTGGACACGTGAATACATTTATCCAATGACTATCCCAGCTGTTTGCAGGCACTTTTTACACACAGCAGCCCATTTTACAAAGAGCTACAGAAATATTCCTCTATCATGTTTAGCTAGGAATGGAGAATGATCAAAATAACCTAAAAGTCAAACCTATTCTCAGCAACTGCAAATACCAAGATCTTCAGCTAGTTCAGTATCAGGCCTTCTTAACACTAGCCTCACAATCCTTAAACTGCGTCTCCATCAGAATATGTATTTTAGTTATCTGATTATTAATTCATTTATCATTTTAATGTAGGACCATCTGGTCTTTCCTCAGTCCTATGAGGCAGATTAACAAGAAAAATGGTCTGTTTCAGTATAATGTCAGAAGACAATCAAACTTACTGAAGGATTGCAGAGCCCTACACCTGACCTCAGTTAATGACTCAGCAAATGCTACTTGAAATCTCATTGTACTGAACAGGGAGACCAGAAAGTAACATAGACAATATGATGTCCTTAGACAGAAATTGCCGCTGTCCAGAATGGAGGCACCAATGGAAACAAAGCTCCTGTTAAGTCACAAGCTGTCCTGTGGCATTTCCAATACACCAGAGTAATCTCTCCTTGGAATTAAGGCTCATCCCTCTGTTACAACATTCCAGAAGTTAATAAAAGCAATGCCTTCCAGAGCATTTAGTGGTTAGTGCACTGTTGCCATCTCTAGTAGTAGTATAGATATTCTTATTATTAATTGGATAGGCTTGCTCTATATGTTTTTATTTTTTACCTTGGACATTTTAAATTGTCGATATATGTCACAGATTGTTTGCTGTGATTATAAACTACCAAGTCTACTGATTAGTCAGCTAATTAATTAAATATGCTGATAACATCACAGCTTTATCTCTTCTTTGGAATGAGGAATCGGAAGCTAGCACACTTCAAATGAGCAAAGATAACAGAGTATCTGTAATCTAAGGACTGGAGGCTACACCAATCCCACACAATCTCCCTGGATAAGGAGAGAACAAGAGATTGCCCAGTTGGGCTCTAGATGGATGCTCCTCATGAGGACACAACAAGATAGCTGTTTCCAACACATCTGAACATTGGAAGACAAAGAAAACCATCACACTCTCAACCATGGCAGAGCTTTTAAAGGAGACTAAGCTCTTAACCTCACTTTCTAATCACTTTCAGAAATTACCTATTTAACTATCTTAAGGCTACTAGAGGTCTTCAAAAGGACAAATTTGCAAACCCACCTGGTGAGTTTGCCTTCAGTCTAGAAAAAAAATAATTAAATATAAGCATAAGAATTTTAAAAATTTGAAATGAAAATTAAAAGTTAAATATGATTTTAATTCAAGGAAGTTATAAATGAATGAAGGAACCAGATGAATTTGGAATATTAGGACTTTTTTACTACAAGAGTTTGCAAATAATTATATAAATAAATAGTGCCTTTGTGGGAACTAAATTTAGTCTAATTTAAGTCATAACAAATTCGAGATTTGATGATTTTAGAAATTGAACACTAGAGGGGACTAAACATTCCAGGCATGAAAGGAAAAAGGAAAAAAAATGTAAGATTTTGTTTGTAATCAGCACTGGGATAAAATGACAGAAAATATGACAGTTGAAGTACTCTAGGTCTAGGAGATATTTTAGAAATAGGGACAGAAATTAGTACCTACAGTGTCAGCAATGTTCTCTGCTTCTATGGACATTATGTCCAAAAGGTATTTAAAAAATAATGACTGAAATGAAAGAGAATACCTTGGAAAGTCTACAGGACTAAGAACTGAAATAAACTTTATCTGATGCTGAAAAATAAGAACTTAAAGAAATTGTAAAATATTGGAAACTGAAAACATTGTGGATTATAAAAAGAGATCACACTTAAAGTGGGAATAGAAAGCATCAGTCAAGAGAGTGACATGGATAATGATTCCTTATTGGATTTACAAAAAAGGTCTGTTAAAGCCACAAAGAGGTCTCTCGGATGGAAGAAAATCTGAAGATAGATCAAATCCTGCAACAATATCTTAATGAACCAAAGATTAAGATTCCTAGAAGCAAAGGAAAGGAATATAAAGATGGTTTCTTTGGCCAAAGGAAAAATAAGACATGAGAGGTTTTATAAAAATCTGGGAAGTCTTTATGGACTTTTGCTGACATCAGAACTGAAATGTTAATATGGGTTCCTGGTGCTCTCTGAGCTTGTTTTCTTGCAGATGTTTCATTACCATGCTAAATAACATCATCAGTAATGAAATGTAAATAATTTACAGGTAGTCCTCGATTTATAACCACAATTGAGCCAAAATTTCCATTGCTAAGCAAGACAGTTGTTAAGTGAGTTCTGCCCCATTTTACAACCTTTCGCCACAGTTGTTAAGCAAATCACTGCAATTGTTAAGTGAATCATACGGTCGTTAAGCAAATCTGGCTTTCTTCCTTGACTTTGCTTTTCCGAAGCCAGCTGGCAAGCTCATGAATCTGCAATCATCATAAATACATGCCAATTGTTAAGCACTTAAATTTTGATCAGGTGACTATGCGGATGCTGTGATGTTTGTAAATGTGAGTACTGCTTATAAGTCACTTTTTCAATCCATTGTAACTTCAAATAGTCACTAAACAAATGGTTATACGTTGAGGACTACCTGTATGGATTTGGGCATCAATAAGAGATGGGTTATGGAAAGAAGAGATACTTGCATGTAACTTTACAGAGGTTGAATAATTACTGAGCTTGTACTTGTTATAATGAAAATCACTTGTTTAAATATTTCTTCTTCTTTTTCTTTTTCCCTGCACTTTATATTTTCTTTTCTGAGTTTAATTTGTGCTGTTTTTTTATCGTCTTTTTAAAATAACTAACAATATTTTTTTAAAAAAAGTAACTCTTTCTAATCCAATCTTAACTCTCAAGACCACATTATTCTTTGTTAAAATAATCACACTAAATTAAAAGTTATTCTGGAGGGCAATGATAGTGATCATTCAAAACATTTTAAACTTAATTTATTTTATTAGGGTCATAGACCACTTCA